GATTAAATGAGGAGAATGTATGTGTTTAAAGTTTGAAGTAGATTGCTGACCTTGTAGGTGAAGTTGAGGGCTTCGGTGTAACAGTCCACAGGTCTGTAGTCCGGCTCCAGCTCAGAGAAGGTGAAGGACGAGGGGCTGCCGTGCCTGAGGAGCACACACACAAAAACACACACAAACACACACACCTCCTCATTACACAACGTAGTAAAGAAATATTGATGCATCATTTAAACTGCAGCTGGTTGGCGGTTATCCACTGAAAGCATGTAACGCTCTGAACCAATGCAAAGCCAGGAAACCTATTTAGCCAATGAAACGCTTCGACACACTGAAGCAGTTGAACGCAAACCAAAGCAACTGCTGCAGAGTCCGAGACACTGACACGTCTGTCATGTGACCGGTTGTTTTGGTGTTTGGAAGCAGTTTGCTTCGGGAAGAGCGGCAAACGCTCCGAAGCACCGGTGTGGTTTGCCCATCGCTATTATATTCCGAAGGAGACATTTCTTGTTTCTTTTTAAAACAAGATACCTGTGCTTTTCCATTGGTAAAGGCTGTTTTAAGGCCGTCAAAATGTGATACATTTAGCAAAATTTGAGAAATATTGACTTTTTAATTACTTTTGCAGTGTGGCTCATATTCTTTCATTTAGGGCGGCAGTAGCTCAGTTGGTAGAGCGTTGGCCTTTGAGCCAGAAGTTCGTGGGTTCAAGCCCTGCTCAGGACTTTCACCATCGACTCCCACTGACTACTGTCGTTGTGTCCTTGGCAAGACACTTAACCTCTGGGAACACCAGCCACAGTGGGGCGGCTGCGGCTGTAAAGTGCCAAACTGCTGTGTCCTTAGGCAAGCCACTTCACCCCCATTGCCTAGAATGAGTCTGGTGTGTGTGTGAATGGTTGGTGGTGGTCGGAACACATACTGGTTGCCTCGCTTCTGTCAGTGTGCCCCAGGGCAGCTGTGGCTACTGTAGTAGTTTATCACCACCGTGTATGGAGTGAATGAATAATGACACATGTGAAGCGTCTTTGAGTATCCAGAAAAGCGCTATATAAAACCGATGCATTATTATTATTCTTCTTTTTTGCGCTGGAAACGGCAGCAAGTCCTCAGTACAGTGGTTGTTCTGTGCTTTACAATTGTTCTCACTTTAGGATTCATGGTTCGAACCAAGCGGATCAGGAGAAAATCCACTAGAGGAATCCTTATTATTTTTATGCTAACAAAGCATTCAGCATTTTACTCAGACTAGAGCAGAGAAAATGGTCTGAACCAAGCGGCTACACCACCTCTGTTACTGTGGCCTAAAGTGCTATTGCAATTTAATACTATTGTGAGCTATTCTTTTTAATAATCCATTTATTTGTTTTGTTTGTATGGTTGGATGTGTTTCTGCTGCTAATGGACACCTGAATTTCTCCAACCAGGATCGATAAAGTATCCATCCAGTCCATCTATTTCTCCCCCTCAGCTGCACATCCCAGGACACCACAGGACAGGAGCAGAGCAGACGTAGGATAGAAAGATGTGAACACAGTGAGTGAGGAACTGGAGGACTGACCCGTGGATGGACACGTCCACTTCCTGCTTGAGCGGCAGCAGCAGACTGAGCGAGTTGTCCTTCAGAAAGTTCTCCTTCTCAAAGTTTTCACTGCAGACAAATACAGTATAACAAAATAATGAGAACTCCAGCCTTGTCTTGTGTATGTACTGGTGTAATGGGTGCGTGTGATCCTCTTTAGATAATTTTTTTCACATTTATTTGTTGAAGTTAGTATGATCTCAATACATGCATTTAAAGTAAAGAGATGGGATATTATTATCTTGAATAATATAATATTCAGGAGCATGATTGAAACAAAACCAAAAGAAGAAGGCTTTTTTAAACTGAGGTGAATGATTTATTTGTTTTATTTACCGAGATATTATATGTTATATGGGTTCAAATTATAATAAGGTAAGATAAGATAAACTTTATTGTCCCATGGGGAATTTGCTTTGAGATACAGTGCTACACAGATCAGCATGAATGAATAAAATAAAACAGGAAAATTACAGAAAAGTTTAAATCAGCTTTAAAATGAGGAACATGGCAGCCGTATTAACAAGTTGCCATCAATGCTGTAAATTAATCATAATAATTTAAGTTCAGGGCCCACTCAAACTAGTCATGCGCTCTAAGGCAATAGTTTGAGTCGTGAGAGTGAAGTGCGAGCTCACCTGCGACTGCTCAGCTGGAGGGTGATGTCACCTGGGGAGCTGCTGTGGCTCACGTCCAACAGGAAGCTGACGTTGAGCTACAGAAGGTTCAGATTCATTTTATTTGGCATTTGCAGTAAAACCACAGTGGATTACATTTGCAGAAGTCCCCAGTGTGCACCGGACCATAGTAGGTAAATTAAACAAAGTTAAAAGTACAGAAATAATTTAAATAAATAAAAAATAGAGGAAACAATTGTCACTGTGAAATCGATCAACAGTTTCAAAACAAGTACAGGATTATCAAAGTCTGTGTCACACTGTACAGAACTAAAGACATCACACCTGCAACATTAATCTTACTTCACTTTTGTTTTGCTTCGTTTCATATCAATTAAATTTCAATTCAATGTATTTTGTATCGCCCTAAATCACAACAGTAGTTATCTCAGAAGACTTTTTGGTGGTTATTATTGCATTCCATGTGTTCAAATTGTGGCATTCTCTGATCTCTTGTTGAAAAAAAATCTAAAACTGTGTAAAAGTCCTCCGAGACAACTGCCGTTGTGATTTAGGGCTATGCAAAAATACTTTGAATTGAAGTAAATACAATGTTAAAAATGTGCAAAATGATATCATGTAAAGTGACATCAATCAGAAAATGGTCGTTACCTGAGCGTGAGCGGGGAGGAGGAGTCCCACCAGCCCACAGGCCACGCCCACTGTGCTGTTCACCTCCGCAATGATGTCACAGCTCACTGCCATCTCGTCCTGACCAGAGACACAACACAATCAGAACATGTATACTGAGGCAACAGCATGTATACTGAGACAACAGCATGTATACAGAGACAACAGCATGTATACTGAGACAACAGCATGTATACTGAGACAACAGCATGTATACAGAGACAACAGCATGTATACAGAGACAACAGCATGTATACAGAGACAACAGCATGTATACAGAGACAACAGCATGTATACAGAGACAACAGCATGTATACTCAGACAACTGAGACAACAGCATGTATACAGAGACAACAGCATGTATACTGAGGCAACAGCATGTATACAGAGACAACAGCATGTATACAGAGACAACAGCATGTATACAGAGACAACAGCATGTATACAGAGACAACAGCATGTATACAGAGACAACAGCATGTATACAGAGACAACAGCATGTATACTCAGACAACTGAGACAACAGCATGTATACAGAGACAACAGCATGTAAACTGAGACAACAGCATGTAAACTGAGACAACAGCATGTATACTGAGGCAACAGCACGTATACTGAGGCAACAGCATGTATACTGAGGCAACAGCATGTATACTGAGGCAACACCATGTATACTGAGGCAACAGCACGTATACTGAGGCAACAGCATGTATACAGAGACAACAGCATGTATACTGAGGCAACAGTATGTATACTGAGGCAACAGCACATATACTGAGGCAACAGCACGTATACTGAGGCAACAGCATGTATACAGAGACAACAGCATGTATACTGAGACAACAGCATGTATACTGAGACAACAGCATGTATACTGAGACAACAGCATGTATACAGAGACAACAGCATGTAAACTGAGACAACAGCATGTATACTGAGACAACAGCATGTATACTGAGGCAACAGCACGTATACTGAGGCAACAGCATGTATACTGAGGCAACAGCACGTATACTGAGGCAACAGCACGTATACTGAGGCAACAGCATGTATACAGAGACAACAGCATGTATACTGAGGCAACAGCACGTTTACTGAGGCAACAGCACGTATACTGAGACAACAGCATGTATACTGAGGCAACAGCATGTATACAGAGACAACAGCATGTATACAGAGACAACAGCATGTATACAGAGACAACAGCATGTATACTGAGACAACAGCATGTATACAGAGACAACAGCCTGTATACAGAGACAACAGCAAGTATACTGAGGCAACAGCGTGTATACTGAGACAACAGCATGTATACTGAGGCAACAGCATGTATACTGAGACAACAGCACATATACTGAGGCAACAGCATGTACTCACAGCAGCTGCGCGGACGTACTGGACGGCGGGAGGGAAGAGGAGGGTGAGGCGCGGTAGGAAGGCGTCGTCTCCTGCGTTTGCCATCGTCACGTTCACCATGAAGCTCCGCCCCCAGCCCAGCGGGAAGTACTGTCGCGCACTGAGGACAGATGCGTGAGACGTGAGAGGGTACCATTCACTTTCATTTTCACATCAAGGGATCCTTCATTTGTCCCACAGTCACCAGGTACAGAACAGTACGAATACACACAGCACCAAATAAGTGCACAATAACTCTATACCAAAATTCTCTATTTATTAAAGCTGGGGTACCTATTTTTCAGAAAAGTATAATGTTCAAATATATAAATAAATCAGACCACTACTTCCCCTCTTCAACTTACTAGAAAACATGTTATCTTTTGCATAGTTGGATGAAAGAGTGCTGTGTGTCACTCTTTGACTATTTGGGCTGAGAGCTGATTGGCTGAGTGAGCGTGGTCCTTTCTTTTTTACATTTCTCTCTGAAAGAGCTGATCTAAAACTGTGACAAGAGAGTTTAAGTTGGAAATGTATGCATATATATATCAAAATGCTTCCATCTAGTGGTAGAAGTGGTAAGTTACATTGCCTTTATAATTTGCCTTTATAATTAACCTTTAGAATGGCCCTATTATAAAGATTGTATGGAACACGGACTGGAGAAAATAACTCGGCAATGCTTTGGAAAGGCAGAAAAAATCTCTGTTTATGATGTCAAAGTCACATTCTACACAGCATAACTCGTCTCAAAACATTGCATTAAGACAGAAGGGATGGGGGGATGTTTGTGCCAGAGGTTCCTGAGTGTTGTAATCATGTATCGTAGATAAAACTCAAAAGTCAATTTAGCATAACGTGTCCTTTAAAGTCATATTGAGGTTGTGCAGTTACATCATTCAAACTGAGTGTAACTTTCCATTATTGGCTCATTTTAGTCTGCGTCATTTGAGAACGTCGTTTGGAAAGTATTTGGAATTGCAATTCTTTATTTGATTACATTTTTCACTGAAATTAAAGACAATTATCACTGAAAATCCAACAATGCTTAATTCTAAATTGTCAAAATGCACACAAATGACAAAAAATACTTCCCCAACATTATTTTTGGCCTTCAGATATTGAGACGATTTACATACTGCTTATTGTCATTTTATGTTTTAGAATGTTAAATAATATTCTTGGTATTTTAGAGATGGTGAAACAAGTATGGAGGCTAAAAAAAGTACTCTGTAACTCTCAATGCTGCCACCAGAGGGAGGAGTGGAATGCATTTTGATTTATTCCAAATTTGAAAATTACAGACTGCAAACACAGACAGTGATTGTAAAGCATGTGATTTAACTTGAGAAATTGCCAAAACTACATAATTTGCAATGATTTAGTTTTGAAAGTCAGAAAACGGCTCTTAGTGTGATGTCATAGTGGTACAATGACATACGAGACAGAAGGGGGTGAGTTAGATATTTGTGCCAGAAGTTCCTGATAATAGCATGGATGGATCTAAAAACAACTCTAGGTCTGTGACTGATGAGGACCATGATGTAACAACCCTCAAAAAAGGTTGATTTGGCATGATAAGTCTCCTTTAAATACATTCTTCCCAGTCTGTTTTTGACATATGCAAAAATGCCTGTATTTCTAAACAAGATTTAGATAATACGCAAACACATAATTTGCTGTTTCAATTCAATTTAATTTAATTTATTCTTGTATAACCCTAAAACACAACAGTATATCTGAGAGAACTTAAATAAAACTTTGAAATCAAGAATGAAACCGTTCAAACACAAAAAAATAGATCACAGATATTGGTCCATTGGGTAAGTTGAACAAGGAAAAAAAATAATCTAAATAATTGCTGTCTTTGCGATTTGCTAATTGTGGTCACAAAAACCATATTGCAAAATGAGAGATGGTGGTGTTACCCGGGCAGGACGAGGAGAGCTGAGAGCTGCAGGTCTGTGGAGCAGTCATCCATGAGACAGGTGCGAGAGAAGAGAGTCTGAACACACACACACACACACACACACACACACACACACACACACACACACACACACACGCACAAACACACAGACACACAGACACACACAGACTTAAGACCACAGCTTTTCCACATAATCACCACATAACAACAGCATAGTACTACTATGAAACACAAGAGGCATTTGTGTTGCAATAAAAGTGTTGTGCGTCAAAGGAAAAAAAAAATCACACGACAGGTAATTAACCATAATTGTTCAAGATTGAAAAAACTATTTTCATTTACTACACACAGAACTGCCTGGATTAGCAGAAGTGACTATTTTGGACCAAGGACGGAAACAGCTACAAACACTCGAAACAGTTGGCAAAACAACACATGACAGAAGTGTTGAGACATCCTCTATTTGTGCTCATAACTGTGAGAAAAACATAAATCAGGCGTGTCCAAACCAAGGCCCACAGGCCAAATGTGTGTAACACAAATAGTCTTTGAGGTCATAAACATAAGTTTGGTGTCATCCAGCCAACTTCAGCTCCACCAAGATGCATGGGTTAGCATGCTGTACCTCTTTGTAACAAAGGATACCTGTGGAATCCAGATGTTTATTTATATAGACAGACCTTTTATTCTTGATTGTATCACCACATTCCATATATGTCACTAATGTGGTGAAATAGTTAACACAAGTAAACGTCAGTTCTATCAAATATGAATCAATATGGACTAGGGCTGTCAAACGATTACAACATTTTAGTTGATAAATCGCACAGTAATGGTGAGTTGACTCACGATTAATCGCATTTTTAATATTCTATTTCAAATCCACTCCAATTAAGTTAAATGAGATAATCAAATGTAATGACACATTGTCATTCATACCAAATGTACTTAAATCTGTTAGATTTGCTCACAACCTTTTGCTTTTGGGCACAACAAAAATGAGTTGTTAATGAAAGGGGGAAATTTACGTACCCCAGCTTTAATTCAGCGAGTTTAGTTTAGTTTCAGGAGGAGACACGGACACTTTCGTGGTGAATTTGTATGCACAGGTTACGCAAAGACACACACACACAACATGCAGACAATAGTTCTGTAGCGTGTATGGTCTTATATGACCATGTTACCGCGGCGCCATTCGCTCACAGTCGTGTTGTTGTTAGCGGCTCACAACCAGCGCGGCCGCGGAGGAGGCGGACTTCAGTTCATTGCAAACAACAGCCCCGCGGTCACGCGCGTATTCTTTTAAAACTTGAATTCCCAGAGGTCCTACAGTACCTGCTCTGATGCCGTCTCACACGCAGCATTCTGAGTGATATTATGGATAAATGAGCGGGTCACTCGGACATGTGTTAATGCGTATTATTATTATTTTTACGCGTTAATTAGCTGAGTCTTGGTCGACTTCCACCGGTGCTTCATTTAGCATGTGCTACCAGGCCGTGTTATACCTCTTTTAAAAACTTCATCATGTATTTTACTCTTTTCAATAAATCTCCAATATTCAGCTTTGTTTCCAAGTGGTCGAGTTTTGTTTAAACTCAAACATAACATTGTGGCGTTCTGGCGGCACGGTGGCTGAGTGGATAGCACCCAGCAAGAAGGTCCTGGGTTCAAATCCCGGTCGGACCAGGGCCTTTCTGAGTGGAGTTTGCATGTTCTCCCCGTGTCTGCGTAGGTTTCCTCCGGGTACTCCGGTTTCCCCTACTAGAGCCCTGCACTTGAGCCCTTGGCCCGAGGGCCCCGACGGCCCGACAGCCCGAGGGCCGGGCTTCGGGCCGATGACCGCATAATGACCTCGGACACGGGCCGGGCTCGGGCTCTTCATTTTCAGAGCGGCAGAATAGATTTACGAGCGCACCCACTGAATATAGCGTTCTATCACGCAGTAGTGTTTGTTGTTCTGTGTAGTGTTGTCATTGACGGCACATAGCATTACTTATGTAATGTGCAGATGTGTTGCAGCATCGGGGGCATCATACAGATGCGGCCGTTCACTCTGCACCACTCCGCACACACAGAACTCATTGCAACACATCACTACCATGTATAACTCCGCCCTCTAGCTAAGTCTGCGTTCATATCAGTGCGCGGCACTATATACTACGCTAAAACATTGTTATGGGAGGTTACAAAAAAAAAAAAAAAGGCGGGCTTGATGCGGGTTTTGGGCCTGAAAATTCAGAAACCATATCGGGCCGGGCCGGGCTGGGGCGCCACCCCCTCGGGCCAGGGCCGGGCTCGGGCCCAGATAATAGGCCCGTGCAGGGCTCTATCCCCTACCACTAAAAATATGCACAATAGGTCTGGCATGTGCCTCCTGTACTGGCGGCTTTGCTCCCATCTCTGTGTGGAGTGAGAGACAAATGCCCAAAAAAAATAAATAAATTGTAAACCGCTTTGAGACTCAGATCAGCAGTGAAAAGGTGGTATATATATAAAGATTACTACTTACTTACATTGCTTTTAAAGAAAAAAGATTTTGATTTCATTTGTAGATAGGTGACAGGAAATTGCGTCGTCTGCAAGTTTTTTTGCCCCAACATGTGGCACACATGACTGCATGTAAACTTGACGCGTTGCTTGGTGGGAAGGCAGCTTAAGTTTCTCCAGTCGCAGTTGGGTCTGTCCTGTCTCACCTGTGCACTGGCGGTCTTGGTACCACCACTCTGCAGGATGGGCCTCAGAGGGGGGAGGGGCCTGTGAGTGCGAGTGGGCGTGGTCTCTCTCAGACTGAAGGCCGCCTGGAAGTGCACCGGAGTGTAGATGTCCCTCACAGACCGCTGTGGAACGACATAAGAAACAAGACCCAATGTGAAACAGATGACTGTATTCTTCAGATACAAAGATCAGAGGTCCGTCGTCCCCCGCTTGGATTACGTGCTAAAAAGGCCTAAGGAAGAACGCTGTAGTCCTCTGAACCAATCACTGTGGCGTACACATGACACAAAAGTTTTCGGATTTTAAATAAAAGGTAACTGTCGTGTTATAATAGCGGTTATATGATGTTGTATATAATGTTGTTGGGGTATAAATGAGAAAAAAAGCACTAAATTGCACACATTCCTGAAACAGCGAAAGGTGAATTGGGTTATGGCGAGGAAGCACTGTACAGCAATGTTCACTTCCAAAAATTAGATCTATCTCTGCTTTGTGGGCTTACCCTCAGATAAGCCACATGGTTGTTGCAGGTGCGCTGCCCAAGCCTCGCCCGGACACGCCCCCTCGTGCTATTGGACGAGCCATTTCCGTGGAAATAGAAGCGATGAGGGAAGGAGGGCTGATGCAGGAGGTCCGACGTCACGTTGTATTGAAGATCTGAAAACATGAGGCAAGAATCAGAAGGCCTTTACACCCTGTTGACCCAGCACAACACAACTTTATAAAAGGAAACTCTACCGGTAAGAGCTTCACTCACCCAAACACTGCTCCACAACTTCTTCACCCAACCCACGCAATGGCCATAATTGTACTATTGATTTTTTTTGTTCTCTAAATAGATTAAAAAAGGATATAAATAATAGTGCAGTTTATATAGGACATTTCAGGACACTCAAAGACGTTTTATGTCATTGTCATATGTCACAGCTGCCCTGGGGCACACTGGCCCACCACCACCAGCCATTCACACACACACCAGACTCATTCTAGGAAATGTGGGTGAAGTCACAAGTGTCTTGACTTAGAACACAATGACAGTTTGTTTTACTAACTAGGCCCTGCCCTGCACAGCTTCAAATACTTAAAAATTTGCTTGGATTGAGCTAACATTAAGCAAATAAATACATAGTCCATATGTATAATATATAGAGCATTTTCAGACCAGAGTCACAAAGCACTTTACAATTGTTGTGGGAATTTGTCTCTCATTCACACAGAGATGGGGGGGGGGGGGGGGGGGGTGTCTTAAAACAATATTCGCAAAGGGAACAAGTGTATAATAATGTTTAATCTAAAGTAAGAGAAAGGGACTTGAAATAAGGGTATAACTTCTTCCTTCATCCAAACTGTGTCCTAAGATAGCCAAAATTTCAGGCAGATATTAAAAAGACTAGAAAAAATACAGGTTAAATGCTCGGTTGTTTTAACACAACAGCCTCGTGCTGCTCTATCCGTGATAAAAAGGTGAACCAGGGTTTTTGCCCAGTGTTTTCAGACACTAGAAACCATATAATATGCAGAGACCAACAAGGCAAATGACTTAAATCATACATTTTGCATTCATTTGTGGCATGTCAAATGCAAGCTCTCTTTGGACACTCAGATGCAAGAATAACGTCACTATATACGTTATGTGTTGTTTACTGATTGATTAAATTCCACTATCCGCTTGTTTCCCACAGGCCACATGACAGAAGCACACACAGACTGAATAATGCGGTGTGTGTTGTTGGAATGAACTCTGCCTTGTGTGTCAGACACAGCAAATACCCAGATTTTACTATTGTGTAACAGTGACAAGCAGAGGTGGGACAAAGTCATTGTTTAGCAAGTCACAAGTCAGTCTCAATTCATTGCCCTCAAGTCCCGAGTCAAGTCACGAGTCAAGACAGGCAAGTCCCGAGTCGAGTCCAAATCAAAGGCCAACAAATCTCAAGTCAGTCCCAAGTCCTACGGTTTGACTTTCGAGTCCTCTCGAGTCTTTTTGACCGCGATTTGTTTCTTGTTGGTCCCCACGTACTTTTGTAGGCAAACAAAATAATGTTAGGAATCATTTTGCTGGTGCATTCTCGTTGGTCTCTGACCCATGGACTAACAGTTTGTTCCATGTCGTTGGCTGCTGGTAAATCAAAACTATCTACGTGATCTAATTGGATGTTGTGCCAGATGCAGGCTCAGTTACACATGTACAGACCACACATAAAATCAGAGCAGTCCGTGTCAACATACTTTTTATCTTTGGGGTTTTTAATGGGAAGTAGCAAGTGCAGCATATATGAATAGTATGCTTATATTATAATCAATTAATCTCAGTATTGGGCTAGGACCTGTATCTATATAATCAGTTTAATGTCCGTAGTGGTTATTGTTCCAAATGTCCTACTGTAGGATAGGGGTAGTATGAGGGGTCCAGGCTTTGGACCTGGGGCAGCTCGCCATCAAAAAAAAAAGGGGGGGGGGGGGGGGGGCGGGGGGGGGGGGGACTGAAGGGACCAATGGAGGGGAAGGAACCTGGCCTGGACCAGCATTAGTAATATCTCATAATTACCAATATATCATTACATAATAAAATGTCTCATATAAATTAATTAAATCAGTCAAAGCACTGATTCTCATATCAATGCACTATAAACAATAGTGCAAATATTAATCTAGCTTAGTGCACATAATCAAAACAACTATCTAATGTATGCAAACTTTAGCAGGAGGAGCACAGCAAAAACATACTCATAATAATAGGCCTCGGCGCCCACACAGAAAAATATAAGAAAGAGCCAACAGAGCAGCGCAGGCTAGCGCTAGTTTGACTCACCAGTTCCTCTTTAAAACACGGCACACAGTGTGACAACTGCGTCGATTCAATTCTATGAGGCGCCTGTAGTGAAAGCATATCAATTACGGTTTGTAGAACAAAATATGACGTTAGGTCGCGATAAATACCTGCAGCTCGCTCATTTCCAGCTCCCCTACGACAACACACCCACCGGTGAATGCAGTGCGCTTGTTTAGGGAAGTGTTGCTGCCTCTCGCGAGCGCTACAACTACCGCGAGGCTTTGTTTCTTCAGAGACGGCATAGATAGAAAGAAAGATGCGGAGAAAGGTAAAAATGGCCCGGGTTACGCAAGTCTTTACAAGTCAATTGGCGCAAGTCCAAGTGAAAGTCAGAGTCATTGATGTTAAAGTCCAAGTCGAGTTGCAAGTCTTTTTATATTTGGTCAAGTCGAGTCTAAAGTCATCAAAATCATGACTCGAGTCTGAATCGAGTCCAAGTCACATGACTCAAGTCCACACCTCTGGTGACAAGGCAGAAGTCTCTCGATTGGTGAAAACTACCGTAAACATCTCCTTCTTCTCACTCTGCTTTAAAGACGTGCAAATTCAATAGACTATATTTGATTTTAAATGTTGCAGATATTATTATATTGGGCGACAGTAGCTCAGTTGGTAGAGCATTGGCCTTAAGGCCAGAAGGTCGTGGGTTCAATTCCCACCTCTGCACCTTCTCCACCGACTCCCACTGATGACTGCTGTCGTTGTGTCCTTGGGCAAGACACTTAACCCCACTTTGCCCAAAGCCCCCACTGAAAGATCAAGGCTATGCTCACAGTCAGAGAGCAGCCGTCCTCCTGTGGACTCACCACCTGCAGAGGGTCAGTGAGGGGCTGGTGCTATGAGACTTGGGTGGCATCTCTGACTGCCACCCCCCTGACCCAGAAATGGATTAAAGGGAAGAAAATGGATGGATGGATGGATGTTGCAGATATAGCAGATTTTTAAAACACATTAACAACAACCAATGCCGCTCAAAGTGCTTCACATAGGGCAGAATAGAGACGGTTACAATTAAAAAACCGGAGCATTTGCAACATTAGTACAATAAGTGCAAACAAGTGGGTCTTTAACAGAGATTCAAAAGATGTTGCTTGTGGCGGCAGCTACAGAGATAATTAGCATAAATGGATTTAAAACTCCAGGTCATGTTTATTAAATGTCATGTTAAAAGCTCAAAAAATTTAGAGTTAGCATATAATGTCGTGTCTTTAAAACCCTTTAAGGATCACCTAATTTCGCCTGCTCCTTCTCGAATTATGATACCCAAATGGAAATGCTTATTGAGTGGACATCCTGTGTCTGATTTTGTGTTATGAGGCCTCATTTGAAAGGTAACACCTTCTAGTTTCTGAAAATGTATGTTACAGTTTGTTAGGAAGGACACGGTCTGCACTACACCTTCTCAAACATGAGTCAAAGCTAGTTTTTTTTGTCAAAAAAAAAGAAGGCAATTTCAAAAGGTTCTCCTGAAGACATACTTTATGGTATGATGTTCAAACTCACCAGAGCAGATGTTTGTGGTGTTGGCAACACCTGTATGAAATTTTAGACCTTTAGGTGGAACTATTTTGATGCTGAGGGCTTTTTTGTGACTAATGGGCACATTCGGCACAAGTGGTCCATTTTTGTGCCAACTGTGCCAAAGTGTTTTACATGCAAATTATCAATGTTTTTACACCAAAAATCCATTTATATAATTTTTTGGCTATTACTCTTGCTATAAATAGCATTTTTTCCAGATATTGAAATGTTTGCAGAAAAGCTATTATTTATATAGTTATAGCGCGTGTTCTCCGTGAAAAAGGCTCCGTCTTCCTCTTTACGCATTCAAATATGACTGGAACAGTGGGAGGAAGCTAGAAGTCCGACACATCGCCTGAAACCTGAGATTATTGGCTACAAGATGATTTGATTAACATCCAAATCGGCCAATGGAAGTCAAGACAATGCTGTCGTGACGCACAGATATGTGAATGGAGCGCTAAAGCTAGGTGCGCTTGTTTTACTCAACTTACTCTACCTTCCAAACCATAGCACTGAAACGTCCGGGAATGGGCTTGTTTTGAAGGGGAGGCTTAGAGGAAGACGAACATACCCAGTGACGCTAGCTAAACAGTAAAATTTCCTCTTCATACAGTGCGAAAAGAACAGGTTTTGTTTTTGTTTGTGCAACTTTCAATACTCAAATATGTTGTTGCAAGTGGATATCTACTATAAGGATGACTTTGAAGAAAAAACAACTGGATATAATTATTCTCTAGACCCTAACGAACAAAACGAATGCACACATGTGTGGATTAGACGTGATTTGCCCCAGAATATTAGCATGAGGATAAGAAAGGACAATATATATTTTAAATATATATACAGTTTGACTACTTATTCTTATCTTTGGTTATATTTAATGTTTATTTGAACATAATCCGCGTATAGAGGTGGGAATAAGCTTTCAAAAGAGATATAGCTTGACTATATTGACACAAGTGAATTCTAATACTGATGCTGTTAAATGAAAAATAACTGAATCCTCCCTGTACAGGGAGGGTGATCCTTAAACCAAATATTGCAATCTTAAGTTTGGTAGATGATGAGTAACCGGAAAGACACAAACATGAAGCAGAAACAGAGTCAGAAGCAGGGGCAGCATGTTTTTGCCTCCACTCTCTTGTGTGTACCTCTTTCACTGTGATCTGCGTTGTCGTTATAAGTATTAAAAAAAAATATATATATAATTCAGAATTATGAAAAAACCCATTCAAAATTATGATTTGTAAAAACCTTTTCTCCCAGATTGCCCAGCCCTAATTTACCTTCACTTCATGATAGCAAACATCCCATGGGAGGAAGCAGGAAGAGCCCCTCCTGCAGGTCTGGTCTGGTGTGAGTCAGGTTTTGAAGATGCTTGTTCATTTACAATCATAATGCAATGTTTTTTGAGGGTCATCAGTCAGAGAATCTCCCATGCTGCTGTGTGTGCTGCTACAATCATTTCAAACTGCACAACTTGTCATGGAGTGGATTTTGTTATTTTGGTACTTTGTTAAGACTTCAGTTCTCTATGGTTTAGTTTTAGTTTAACCTGTCCTGTCCCTCTGTGTTGATTGTCTGTCCCGCCCCAGTGTGTTTCAATCGTGTGTCTCTCTGTGTATATACAGTATGTACATGTGCTTCTTTCCTTTTGTTGCTGGTCCATTGTCAATGTCTGTCCTGTTCCTGGTTCTTTTTGGACCTTTACGGACTGTTATTTATCATCATTAAATCATTCTTTTTTGCATTCCTGCCTTTTGGGTCCTCTTTCATTTCACTTCATGACACAACCTGGAAACTCAGGCTCAAATGTTCGCATGGATTTGGGGACCAATCACAGAATGGGGAGGGACAGACAAAGACGAGGACTCCGCTATGATAGACATTTGTAGATCAGCCCCGCCCTCTCTGGTCCTGTGTGTTCCAAAGATATGGCTGTTGTGTTTCTGTCTCTCTGGTCTTGTGTGTTGCAAACATGTGGCTGTTGTGTTGGTGTCTCTCTGGTCCTGTGTGTTGCAAACATGTGGCTGTTGTGTTGGTGTCTCTCCGGTCCTGTGTGTTGCAAACATGTGGCTGTTGTGTTGGTGTCTCTCTGGTCCTGTGTGTTGCAAACATGTGGCTGTTGTGTTGCACTCACCTACAGCTCCTCTGAACTTCCTGGAGCTCACCCTGAAGCACACGCTGACGTTCATGCACACTCTGTTGTCTGAGCACAACGCCACCTGCTGGTCCACGTGGGGAGGCAGGTGTACAGAGGCCTCCACCCACACCACAGGCTTGGACCTAGGTAACACACACACACACACACACACACACACACACACACACACACACACACACACACACACACACACACACACACAGTTGAGATATTCACTCAGGGAAAAAGTGTAATTTAGGTTTCTGTTTTTGCCTGGAAATGTCTGCAGTTTGGCATTTCACTTTTCATTAACACTAGAAACAGGCATATGACCTCCCTCAGCTCAAGTTATATTTGTGGAGAGGCGAGTCTTCTAGCTGTACAAATGTATATGCGGCTCCGATTCAGTCGCACACCTGGGCTTATCAACGTCACTTGACATTTAAACAGAGCCTCTTGGTCCTTGCAGCAAGCTGCTGTTCGTGCAGCTACCCCCCTGCCCATTACCGCCTCTGCAGTGGAGGAGCAGGTAAAGTTATCGGCTCAGCTTCCTACAACAGCTGATGAGAGACACGTCACGTGACTACTCTGACGAAGGTGAAAGTCTACAGCCCAGACATATAATTAAGTAGTAAGTAAGTCAGTAACTCTGGCCTTTCACAGACCAGAGTCACAATGCGGTTTACAATTGTGGGCATTTGTCTTTCATTCCACACAGAGATGGGAGCGGGAGATAGGAGCCTTCTGATCTGTGCCATTATATCTGTGCTAGAATTGTTTTGGAGCACTGTGTACATGTTTGAGTCATTTACAGTGAAAAGCAGAAGTTTTTGGATAAAGGGCATTTTCAGAAGGCATGTTTGAGTCATTTACAGTGGAAAGCGGAAGTATTCTGAAAAAAAAAAAAACATTTTCTGAACAGACTGAAACTATTAATTAACTCAATATGTGGTAATTATCGCAATATGTAACCAGTGACATAACACAGGTGAAAAACATTGTTTTTTTGCAGATGTAATCTTTCTACTTGATATTCTCTCGGCTCCTTTGATCACCACGACATAGCCACAGTTTCACTCGAATCTCTTCTTTTCTTTCATTAATCTAAAGTCTTTTGTGTTATACAACTGTAAAAACACATACTATTCGGGATTTTATGAGCTTTTAACCCCTTCATATTGTTTATATATCTTATGTACATTTGGATGTTTTGAATGGTGTAATATTTACATGTTTTATTATTATTATTGTTATTATTATTTTACATTGGAATAATACAGTATGATTTTGAACAAGGATTAAAAAATTGTTTAATCCTTTTGTTATCCTGAATTCATCAAATAATTCAACTGCACATTGAACTATTGATGTATAAACCTGACTGTTTATGGCCTTTGACTTTTTATGGAAATGTTTATGTGATAGGAACAGAGCAAAAACATTTACAGTTTAGTGAGATTATAAAGTGCCCTAGTGAGTCACCACTGAGTTCATGTATTAATAGTTTGGGGAGCATCGAGAGGTGTGGAGGTTTCAGTTCCTCATCGCTGCACATGGGAAATAAGCTCATGATGAAACTTTGTGAAAGAGAACTCATGGTTATGTCATACGGACAGAACCATGTGCATCTGCTTCTGTGCGGTTACTTCTCCATTTACCTGAGGACGACAGCAGAGTCCGAGAGAAAGGCCCCGACCGCCACATCTGGAAGAAAACAAAGGACGTTTGAAACCTCTTTCCCAATGGTAGTTGGTGCACACTGGGGTAGTCTTGCACAGTTTTTCCAATGTGGTTTTACTGCAAATGGCAAATAAATGAATCTGAATCTGAATCTGGTATCCTGGCAGCACGTCTCTCAAAACAATGAATAATAGCTGCACAATTAAAAACATTAACAGATCATCCACTGCATCTGTGGTCTTTCAGAAGTGCCTAAATGTTCTGTTGGTATAAGCCATTGGAGTTTATAAATCATAAGTAGACGGGTCGGGGTCCGGTTCACCCTGTCGGTACTTATTTTCAAATAATGACCTGCCTTCTGTACATTAAACCGCTGTGGCAAAACTAGAACTCTCTTGAACTTCATGAAGTCTGACCATCAGCGGTGAGTGACCCAAATATAAACTCAATCGTAATCCATATTCAGACCCTCTGAAAATGCATCCGTTAACAGGTGGGAGGGGTTAACTCGTTTTGCAGATTGAAACGATTGGATCTGAGTTTACCGTGACGTATGTAATGCGCCCGAGTGAGTCGTTAGCATTTAGCATTTAGCCTAGCCATCTCCTTTGCCGCTAATGGTGCCCGTGGGGAGTAGCGCCACAATTCTTTCCAGCGATTACATTTACTAAACATTACCCTTGCTCCGGCTTCCAGTTCTTGATAGAACCAGACCGGATTACTTTGCTATCGCATTTTTCGCCATTGCCAAACTACAACTTTCCCGTTCAACGCAAACTCTTGACGTCACCCACAACTAACTACAACACCTGCCTCCTGCGCTCTCTGAATGGTTGGTCGAAATTCAACCGATTGTAATCGCTAACACAGGGACTAGACCCAGACGCTACATGCAGTGAAATGATGTTGTTACGGATGGCTAAGGCCAGGCTAGTATTAAAGTAGCATTGTGTAAAAATCTGGCCAAAAGTGGTACTGCAGTCACAATCAATATTTTGTAGTCCTCTCCCACTCTCCCTGATTCAGGTTGCCAGATACACACCACATCCAGCAGCAAACACAAGGAATTATTTTATCAGTTGTTTGTCTGCACTCACTGCTCTCACTCCTCCCTCTGCTGCTGCGCTGCAGCAGCGTTCAGTCAGTCACACTTAGCTGGCAGCGATTAAACACTGTCCTGCATTGTCATAGAGCTTTCATATAAGATAAGATAAGAGTCTCATAAAGCAGCAACCCTCCTCCTCAGACAGCCAGACCAGATTTTCAACCCTTCTTCTTAGGGTCTAATGCTGCTTTCAGACCGCCAACGCTGGAATGCTGAAGCCTCGCTTGCCAGACGCAAATTCTCTAGTTTTCAGACGCAGGGCACTTAAGACCAGAAGTCCTGGCGCCCGCTGAAAGTGGCGGAAGTAGCCGGCGGGCTTTGATGCTAACAGAGTTAAGCTAGCGGCTTCTTGTGTAAAGTTCTTCTCCAATAATGCAGCTTTGCAGTGTCTCTGTGTTCAGAGACTTTCCAGAGACTTTATATAACAGCAGTATGTGTTCACGGAGGTGCGCAATAAATTTATTTTATTATTAAGCGGTACTTCCGCATTGGGGAATACGCTCGAAGCAGTTGCATAAAGTCACGGGAGCATGAAAACTCACATGTTCAAAAGCACTATGTCCCCCATTGTAAACCCTGGTTTAGTCCTGGTGTAGCTCCTGTTTTGGCTGTTTACGAGTATTTTCAGTCTGCTCGCTCAGTCCGCTAATGTCCCCGTGACCACTTTGCGGCTCTCTGATTGGTCGCTGAACGAACGTCCGAGGAAACGTCCATTCCGAGACGCACATGCATTTTTACGCTCAAATGCGCGTCACCATTGACTTTGTATTGAAGGCCGATGCAACGCATGATCCGGTCTGAACGCGGCATAAGGCCCCTCATTTCATCTCATAATCTCTATTTTAATTTCATTTCATGTACAACATGCAATAAATATCTTTGTTGCATCAATGTCTTCGGAGTCTTATGTGCTCATTTATGTAACAGGTTACAGCCAACCAACAAATACAATTCTAATAACTCTGTTGTCTGTTGTGTATCTCCAGATGGAACAGTCCATATACTAATCTCTGCTCTGCCGGTGACTAACGGGGATGTTAAATAAATGGGTGGATGATTGCGCTCATGAAGAGGACTGAAAAAGTACCTTGGTAGCCGTTATCGTCGATGTCCACCCCTGAGCTGAGCGACTGACCAAACATGAGGAGCTCTCGACCCAAAGTAGCCCCTGTAATTCTCTGTAAACACATAACCAGACAGATTTTATTTACAAACAGAGAATTAAGAGTTCTTGCGTAAAACTAGTTCCTACGGTGCGCCTCATCATCAGTGTTCACCATGTTTGTCCACGAGCACAACCCCATAGCAGCTTCCTCACACACACGTGCATCAGGAGGTTTCAGGCGCCTCCTGATGCTCCTAGATGAAAAAGTAAACAATACTTCTGAATGATCACCAAATATAGCCTGAAAAGAATTGCCATCTTATGTAATGCCTTAAATTATATTCTGATTGTGCAATGATTGGAACATGGCAGGTTGCTACTTGTATGTGTTGACAAATATTACACAGGTTATATATCTCTACAAACGCACAACCGGCATGCGTTAGCTCATTGTGAGGTGAAATCGCAGCTCGTAGCACACTGTTCGAGTTCGTGGCAAAATCGAGAATACATTTGCAGTTCATGCCCAGCTAGAGGGTGTGGTCTCTGGATAGGGGGTGTGGTCTCTGGTTAAAGGGTGTGGTCTCTGGTTAAAGCGTGTGGTCTCTGGTTTTGAGGATGTGGTCTCTGGTTAAAGGGTGTGGTCTCTGTTTAGAGGGTGTGGTCTCTGGTTAGAGGGTGTGGTCTCTGGTTAGGGGGTGCGGTCTCTGGTTAGATGGTGTGGTCTCTTGTTAGGGGGTGTGGTCTCTGGATAGAGGGTGTGGTCTCTCGTTAGGGGTGTGGTCTCTGGTTAGGGGGTGTGGTCTCTGGATAGAGGGTGTGGTCTCTTGTTAGGGGTGTGGTCTCTGGTTAGGGGGTGCGGTCTCTGGTTAGAGGTTGTGGTCTCTGGTTAGGGGGCGTGGTCTGTTGTTAGGGGGCGTGGTCTCACCTGTGAGGGATTGGGCCAGATTCCCTCCTTTCGGCCGTTGTAGATGTACACAGCTCCTCTCAGCTCGTCCTCATGAGGAGCTCCAATCGCCACGTCTGAAACAACACTCCAGCCAATCAGCTTCAACCAATAATAATACCTCTACTTATCTACAGCCAATGACGTGCAGTTAGGGGAGGCAGAGCCTCACCTGCCATCATTGAAAAAAATAATAATTATAGTTGTAATGTATAATTGTTTTCCACTGTCCTATGATTTAATGTATTTTAGGTACGGTTCCGACCAGTTTTGATCATTTCTGTAGTCAAAATCGCTGAAATCCTATTTTTCCTATTCAAAGAGACGAGGTGAGGCAGCGCTTCTGCCTCACCTCAGATCGCTCGCTCCCTCACAGTGGACTGTGCGAGTGCACTCAGCTCGTGCTGTTGATATATCGCTGTTTGTTTCAAATATCCTGCTTTAAAAATATTTGTTAAACTTCTCATAGTTTTTAGTATCCATCCATCCATCCATTTTCTACCCTTTAATCCATTTCTGGGTCAGGGGGGTGGCAATCAGAGATGCCACCCAAGTCTCATAGCACCAGCCCCTCACTGACCCTCTGCAGGTGGTGAGTCCACAGGAGGACGGCTGCTCTTTGACTGTGAGCATAGCCTTGATCTTTCAGTGGGGGCTTTTGGGCAAAGTGGGGTTAAGTGTCTTGCCCAAGGACACAACGACAGCAGTCATCAGTGGGAGTCGGTGGAGAAGGTGTAGAGGTGGGAATTGAACCCACGACCTTCTGGCCTTAAGGCCAATGCTCTACCAACTGAGCTACTGTCGCCCTAGTTTAAAAATACACTTTTTAGTAGTGTATTGCAAATATGTATTTACTATCTATATTTAGTTTTGATCTGAGAAGAATACACAAGGAAAAAGCCTGCCTTGAGGCAGGCAGTGTCTGTGCCTCACCGATAGGGGGCGATACTTAGCATGAAGTTCATACCAGAGTTGCTAACAAACAATCGGTCCTATTGGGGCTATTTCTTTAGCTGGAAAATGAATGATTTGGCTGAAGATTTTTTTTATCAACTGGACTTTCAATCAAAGCAAGAAATAATATAGACTGTGAGACTGCCACTGGACTTACGAGGTTAGTCCAGGGGAGGAATTTGTATTTATGTTGGAAATTTACCAGATAGCTGCATAAAAGTGCTTCTCCGAAAAACACTTCAAACACTGCTCAAGAGTTCTGCAACTTGTTTGAATTATTGTTTATGTTCCTCGCGTCTCTCCCTTTCTCTCCCGCCCTCGCGTCTCTCTCCCTCACCTGTGCTTCGCAAAGATGTTGTTTTATGCGGAGCAGAGTCAGCGCCTAGATGTGTGGGAATATTAAAAGATGCTGGTTCTCTTATCTTTACACTATATACAGTTTGTGGATGTAATTGCATTGGCGATTTAATGCTATTTTATTAGAATCATGATGGTAAATCTGACTTTTAAAGTCAGTGCCTCCCCAATCACCGCACGTCACTGTCTACAGCCCATGTCCAGCCAGGAAGAAAATATACACTAATCCAAAACTAAAAACCTAATATGTGTCAACTCTTTAATTAATCATGTTTTAGTGAAGTGTCTCATATGTCATATGGGCAGCATGGTGGCACAGTGGTTAGCCTCAGAGCAAGAGGATGATGGGTTTTATTCCACGTCCAGGCAGGGTTTGATTCCACGTCATGGCCTTTCTATGTGGAGTTTGCATGTTCTCCCAGTGTCTGCTCCGGTTTCCTCTGGGTGCTCTGGTTACCCCTATCACTGGAAAAATGTACAAAAGGTCTGGCATGCGCCTCCTTTATGGCGGCGGAGTGAGAGGACTAATGCCCACAACAATTATGAAGCGCTTTGTGACTCTGGTCTGTGAAAGGCGCTTTATTAATAAAGATTGCTTATTTATTTACATATATCGCCAAAATAACTGGCTAAATTCCCAACGATGATCTCAGGACACCTACTGTAGCTGATAAATGTGTGAAGCCGCAGTTCATTCATGATATGTGTCTAAAGTGCGGCTTTTTAGCACTGCATGGCTCTGCTTCTGTATAGACCTCTTATCTGTGTATCTGCTCTGGCCTGAGGTGTGTCCAGGGCTGGACTGGCCATCGGGCGTACCGGGCAATGCCCGAAGGGCCGATGCCCATATTTGGGCCGGTCTGTCTGCCACATACAAAAAACATGTTTGTGAAAAGTGTAAATCCGTTGAGAAATGTTTGAGGGGAGCGCGCGTGTCCGCGGGGCTCCTGCTGTATGTACTCGAACGGGATTCCACCACCTCAGCGGCCGCAGTGTTCCCGCATCCAGCGGCTCTGAGCTGGACGCAGGAACCGCTCACAACACAACACGGTGAGCGCGTAGCCAAGACCATAAACGCGCACAGGACCATGCATGTCTTTTCGTAATTTGTGCACCCAATAAATACACCGCTGCAGAAAACAGTCCGCGTCTCCCCTCTCCTCTAAAATAAAGCTCGGGTACCTAAATTTTCCATCGCATTAAAAGTTCATCTTTGAGCCCAAAAGTAAAATGTTGTGAACAGATTAAACAGATTTAGAGCCAGCTAATGACTGACAATATGCATTTCAGAATTTTTTTTACCAATTCTCATCCCTGTAACAAACAATATTGTCTGTGTCCACCTCCCTCACTCTGAGAAATGTTTATTACTCTGTTTAATGTAGACTATTGCACTTTATTTTTTTGTTGAAACTGCACATATCCTGATCCTCTACAGTATTTGCTTCCACATACTGTATAAACCAGGGGTCGGCAACCTTTAGTGCCCCTAAAGTGGCTCCTGGAGCCTTTTCAAAAATGTCTGAAAATGGAGTGTGAGGGCTATATTTTATTTCTAGTTTGAATGTGGTTTCTGGAGGAGGAAGAACATTCTTAACGTTTTTCAATGCTGCAAAAACTTGTATGGGTAATATTCAATTTTAACTGTGTGTGCGCATGGATCCCAAAGATAAAGAGAAAGAGTCGATAAGACTGCACTAAGAATGAGAATGAACATTTGCTTTTAGTCAATGAGGAAGGACTGCTTTGTGTTTGCGATTTAAAGAAAAGTTTTGTTGCAACAGGAGGAACAATGAAGCTTTAAACACCGTTCACTGAAAGATTCATTCATCATAAAGTCAGAGCACCTATTTTCAGACTTCAAAAACCTTCGCAAAGACGGTGAAAGAAAACGCCATTAAGGACATTCAGCTCCAGCAAACTTCAGCCTGTGATCGATATGAACAGACAGTGATGCAGGTGAACTCGGAGCCAAAAACAGATTTATTTACTGTATTTGTACAATTGCAAGAAGGTTAAACTTAAAGCAGAGTTGTCACGTGGTGCGTCATTCTCTCCAGGACACGCTGCAGTGAAAATACACATTTGATAATCATGAATGGTTTTTATGTGTTTAGCCTTTACTTTGTCATTTAGATATTAGTCTAATATAGCTAATATAGCTTATTTAGCTAATACAGCTTCAGCCCCTGTACCTTCATATAAGCCTTATACAACGCTGGTTTTTTTTTTGGTTTTTTTGTCAAATAGGGCTCCTTGAACCTTTTGAGTTGCCTGGGCCGCTAAAAAGGAAAAAATGCCCGGGCCGTTTTTTTGTCCCAGTCCAGCCCTGGGTGTGTCTGAAGCTCAAACTGGACTTTCTGGATAATAATTAGGCCTAAATGAGTTTAAGGGAAGAGGGCAATAAGAGGAAGTGGGAGTTAACCATGCAGGAACAACACAAGCGATGATAACGACTGAGTCTGGAATGTGAAGAGGTCAGAGTTGCTGTGTAATGGACCCACTGTGGATGAACATTTCTAACCCAGGGTTTTCAAAGCATTTGGCGGCCGCATGTTTTAACGAGTGCAGCGGAGGGCCACAATCTAAATTATTTTTCGAAATGGTTGCTTTTCAACATCAATATTTCTCAAAACCTTAATACCCAGTTTCTCTGGTGTACAAATGGAGCTATATCAAAATTTCTTCCGATTACTTGACGCAGGCTCACTCAGCTCATGCCGCAGCCCTCCTCCTCCCCATCTCCACCTAAACAATAGGTCGGTCACTGTAAGAGGATTTCCTTTGCCCTCCTGCATCCTTCCTCTTGCCTTTTCTCAGGGTCTAAACACTGAAACCATGTATACATACAATATATACTGTATATGCTCTTTGCAGTAGAGTATACAGGTTTATAATAAAATAGAGCTGAAACAATTGATTTAGATCATAGATTTACAAATGGTTTTTTATTTCAATCCCAAGACAAAAATAGGGCAAGAACACTTCATCTGTGGAGAAGTAATAGAAGTGACTTAAATGATGGTTTCACACTTCCACAAAGGAAGTATTTTTGTGAGTTTCACTTTCATATTCTCTGTCACGCCACTGGATTTAAACAGTGAATATTAATATACTTACTGTTGTGTGGCTATGATAGAAACCAATAAATAAATATTTCTATGGGGATGTTATCTCTTAAAAATATATGTGTAAAGATTGAACTAGGTCTCTCATCATTTGTGTATCTTGTGACCTTAAACGTGGGATGTTCTGCTGCTGGTGAACCTACTGTGGGTGGGCTGTGTTCCAATAAACAAACGTTAGAATTACAGAGGCCACGGGGCTCTGTCATTACGCCTTAATGACAGCTCCACCCCCTGCTTATCGGGACGTCCTGCTCCGAGGCAGTTAGAGTGTGAGACCGCGCCCTCATCAGCACCGTGCATTTGTGTGTGTGTGTGTGTGTGTGTGCATATATATGTGTGTGTGTGTGTGTGTGCGTGTGTGTGTGACAGTAGCAGAGGGGCCACAGATGTTGCACACAGGAAGCAGGGTCAGGGTTAAGGGACACGGGAACGTTGAAGAGAGACGGCGCTCTTAAAGTCAACACACACTTGAAACTTTCTATCACATTATGAATGAGATGCTGAGCGGAGGTTTTACGGTACGCAGCGTTTCATCTTTATGATTCAAACAGATTCAAAATATCAGAGGCAGAATTGTAAAAGACTCTAGTTTAGACCCCGTGGTAAGGTTGATCCGTGATGGCAGCAGTCCTCTCGGTGTAATGGTTTGTGCGTTACCTGGGTAACCGTCGTCGTCCAGGTCTCCCAGGTCGGCGATGGCTTCCCCAAACCGGGCTGCGTACGCCTCACTCCCCGACAGCACGAAGTCCAGCTCCAGCAGCTCGGCCTGTTTAAACAGCAGTACAGTGACAGTAACCATTAGTATGACTCAGTGTGAAGACCTGCAGTTTGTCACTACACATCAGTAATCGTACTGTAAAAAAATATTGTACTGTGGTGTTATATTTCTGGTTATGTCTCTTATGTCAGGAGATTGAGGAACTGAGGATAGTATATCCAGTGTGGAGTGAGAGACAAATGCCTACTGTACAATTGTAAACCGCTTTGTGACTCTGGTCTTTGAAAGGCAGTGTATAAATAAAGATTACTTATAATTTGAATTTGAACTTGAATAATAAAAAACAAATTAACAATAGTTTTGAAGAGACCGTATGTAATAGTTTCAACATTTTGTCCCCAGATAACACATGTACACATCATATTTGACTTATTCTAAGGTATTTTTGGTGACCATACTATTTATATTAACAATTATCACGCTTTTTGTCCAATCAGAGAGCAGAATGAAGATTGTGTTGCCAGTTTGTTAGGTTAAATTTAGCTGGTTTTGGCTCTTAAGAAACAAAACAAATGATAAAAAGTTTCACACACAAAAAATAGCATCAGACACAGAAATACACAAACATAAGTAGTCATAGGTTATACTCAAAGCCAGCTACACTCCAGCAGGTGGATTGCCTCGCTGATCGCTGGTTTGGGGTTAGTCTGAAACAGAATCTGTTAACATCTGTAATAGAAGTGTGATTTATATTACATACTGTACATTTAAAACTCAAGCTTAACTTGAGCTTCCGATATGTTTCAGCAGTTTTGATCTTTTCTGAAGGAAAACTTTGATTGGATTTTCAAAACAAGGACATGAATTGATTACATGGGCAACTTTTTTGGCCAAACAAGCTTTTGTTCAATATATGGATCTATAGCCTGTCCGTCTGTGGGAGCGGATCCCTTGCTCAATGTGGGCTTCCCTGAGGAAGCCCACATTGAGTGATGATGAGCCCACTTTTCTCCCATTGGGTTTTGGAGATTTTAAGAGAGGGTCTAAGGACAGTGGTGATGATCCAGGACACTCGATATTCAAAGACATTTATGGTCATTGGTCATCTGCCCCTTGTGTCGTTATCAGATCAGAACTGTTTGATTCTGATCTGTGTTGGCCAAATTGAGAGCTTTTTAAAGTCCTGTGAGGTAACTACAGTTCTTATTTAGCGCTAGACAAAAATAAATTGAATTGAATTGATCAAGTCTATGGTCTCCAGTGAAGATCCCACTGTAGCCGGGGGTCTATGGATTATATATAAACAAACACAAGTTCTGAAAGCGTGGAAGTGAGGCTCTGTTGGTTTGTCAAAAGTCACATTGTGAGCCTTAAGGGCTGCTGTCACAGGGACGTCACCGCTCTGGCTGGAGGCTGAACCAAAGAATGATTCTTTTGTGGCCTCTCTAAAAACCGTTGTAATAACCGCAAAAGTCTTATCCTGTGTTTGTGGTGTTGTAACAGGAGGAGAGCCACTTGTGGTTCAAACTATAACGTTTTTTCCACTGCGGCTCCGCGTTTTTGACCCATCTTGAAATGTTGCGTAGCCCCATGAAACTGTGAAAGCCCAGAGAGTTGTGACAACTTTTAAACTCGTGAACAGAGGTCGTGTCAAAAACAGTATTATCTGCAGTAATAAACCTTGTTTGACTTATGTGTAGTTTCAGAACCTTCCTGACCTGACCCAATAGATCGTATATTAGGAGTGGACAGACCAAGTGCTGACGTCACCATGAAATAAGTTTCACTTTATGCTGTAACGCTGTAATTCAAGGCCTTACAAAAGAAAAAACCGGATAATATTAACTCGTCACAAAGGTCAGTAACGTGCGTTGCATTCCATTTTAACCCAAAAGAGTTTTATTTTTACACTATGCCACCGACAGATCAGCAGAGGAGAAAAGCGCCATAATAGTAGCCGCCAGAACAGGGATCACCAACCCGGAGCCTGCAAGCGCACAGTCTCATAGTAATATTTTATACGTCGAATTGCATATGGAACAGCATCCAGACACATTTTAAAAGAATTGTGTAAGGTTTGTTTGCATTTTATAACTAACAGTTGAGACCAAAAGTAAAAAATATGATGACTCATCATTATGAAGATCGTAGTTGTGACAGAACTGCTATTACTACACACTTTTTACACTGTTACACACTTATTACACTGTTACACACTTTTTACACTATCACATAGAAAATACACACATTATCCATATATGTATGACATACGGAAATTATATTGATTATAAATTGTAACACTGCAAATTATACAAGGACTGTATAACATTTTATAATAACAACATAAAACACTCTTTTCTGGTATTTATGAAAGAGGTGCAAAAGGTGCTACTTTCAGGAGATGATCAGACAAACATCATACGAAAGTGCAACTTTTCTGTTTTGATCTTTAACGCATCCAAAAAGAGTCAAGATTCACAGAGATATGTGCCGCCCAAAAACCATATTTTGTGCGCAAAGGGCTGCTTTTTTTGCATGTTTACATACATGTTTTTAAACAGCAATGAAGCACTTCCATCAAGTTTAATAAATGAAGCTGTAACCTCTATGAACCGTTTCTGAGCCAGGACTGCAACAAACAGGACTGAGTTTTTTGGAGACAAAGATGTGGACATAACAGTTAAGTGCACTTGATGTGCCAAACCAAATGAAACTTAAAAGTAATGCAGAAGTAGTGTAATACATTACTGTGAGAAGCATTGTCTATGCTAACCCGCTAGCTCCAGTCTACTGTATGTCTGACCCACATGTTAGCAGCGGCCTATAAAAACAGTTTTGATTTCTTGAGTCTAAATTACTGCGATATTTAATAAGAGTGTTCAGCCTCAAGGCAGGTTAAAGGCGGGTTCAATGCCGAGTTTTTCTGACAGCCCAGCCCATGTCACTCAGGTAAGGGCGCTTTTGGTCCAATTCCCTGTGTCTTTGCTTAGTAGGAATGAGACTTATGGCTATTTTCTCTTATAGAATTGGTGGTTGAATGAGATATCTCAGACAGGACTGGACAGAAGCCACACCGTGTTCAACTCTACTGTAATGTTGTGTCTCCACTGACCTCTCCCTGGTTGAGGTAGACGTGGACGCGCCCCTCCTCGCGGCCAGCCCCTGTTGCCATGGGAGCGCCCACCAGCAGGTCCGACAGTCCGTCTGCGTTCAGGTCCAGCACACACACACTGGCCCCGAAGTACGATCCCAACTGAAACACACAGTGAAGTCCGCTTACAACAGGAGACTCGGATCTGGACCTTTGTGGCCTGGATCTTCTCATCTGCAAACATTCTTCTGGGAAACGGTCTCCCCTTTAAACTGAATGGGATGGAATGTAAATCAGAGATAGTGTTTGTGTGCACAGCTGCTCTGAGGTTGCTGAGGTCTGGCGCTGAATGTGTTTTAAAGATCCACTACTACTAATAAGGAGAGCAGCGTTATTATTATTATATTATGGGTATTTATTTTTGTGTAGATGTGTCTAGAGACATGAATGATCGCATACTGGTTCTTATCATTTGTGTCAAGAGCCCTGAACTCTGAAGAAAAATGTGTCGGAAACTCAAAAGTTAATCTCCTAAGGAAGTATTATTATTAAAACACCAGCGATTTTACCCAGTTTAGCACCCGTGTTAAGTGTTTAGCACCTGTGTTTAAATATCCTAATGCTTTAGTATTTCTAATACATTGGACGTTGGCATTATAAAAGTCCTGCGTTCAGCCAGGGTTCTGAAGGCAATACTCCTTAAAGGGTCAAGGGAATTATTTATAAAATGTTCTGTCCCTCATTTATCATAGGGGTTATTTTATAAAAAAACACAATAAGTTAAACTGTTGGTTGAAGGTCTGAGTGCTGCTGCAGCTGTCAAAAGCCGTGCATACAGCTGCAGATGATACTAAGGAGCAGGAGAACTACAGGAAGGCTACGGGAAGACAAGCCAAAAAAGTTTTCTTCTTACTTTAAAGGTCTTATATTGCGCTTTTTAACTTCTTAACAGTGCTATTTGGCCTGCATACACAATCTAGTTTTTTTCATTGATTCCCTCAAGCTTTAGTTAGCGATTTTTCTCTTCTATTCTCGAGAGGCAGCAAAACTAATTTGTCTTCATCGTTGATGCAGAGTGAGCGAGGGGAGTTCGCCTTCAGGAGGTTGGCCCTGCGTCTACCACATCGAACAATGTTTTTCTGCAATTGTTAGCAACTAAAAGTGTTAGCATCAAGTCAACTTGGAGAAAATGTGTTTTTGGGTGTAAATATGTGACAACACTATTGGGCCTGAAGACAAATAGTGTCGTCACAGGAGGTAAATGATGCTGGACATTTTTTCACTGGGACCTGCCTCTGAAATTAGCAACAAATCTGTTTTTTCTGCTTGTGACACTTCACTAAAGACTGTTCCAGAACTGTGGTTACTAGGAGTGTGACGATATATATGGTGATGTATCGTGATACTTTCTCACAAGATCGATTATCGATATGCTTTTGCCAAGTACCGATTTTAAAAAACTTTTTTTCTTTTCTTTTTTTCTTTATTAGTATCAATACTTAATATATGGCTAAATTACACATCTCATAATAATCTGCTTTGACCTGAACATATTGTTCTATGACCCAGATATTGCTAAAGAAACACATCTCCATAGCTGACCTTGCTGCCAACAGACCGTATGTGCTGTATTTGAATCCAGAGTTGAGAATTAGTTAATAACGTACACTTATCACTATTTTGTGTTTATTCAGCTTTCTTTACTAAAAGATTTCTATAAGAGTATATTTCTGACCAGTATATCGATAATCGTCATATTGTGAAATAATCGTTATCGTGAACTTTGTATCGCGTATTGTATACCTCAGGGTACCTCACGATGAAAAAGTTTATCCTCAGGTCTAAAATGACAATGTACCAACGAGAACTGAAGTTAGCTTTCACGCTGTGTGTTTGTATGAGGCTACATCACCTCGCGGGTGGGGAGACGCGGGCTCAGAGAAGGATTTGAGCGTTGTATGGTGATGTGAATAGGATGGACTGGGGAACACGAAGAAGAGCAAAATATATGGACCTTTAAATAAAGATTACTGCTTATTTTTGCATTTTAGTAATAGACAGTGTAGAAATACATTCCTGAAAACTCTTTAATGCTTTGAGAGTGACAGAACGTTACTTGTCAGTCTCTGGTCTGTTATTTATTATTCTCAATTTATTTTGTATTCATTTTATTTACAGAGTGTGTTGACATTTTGGGACACAGATGCACATGAGCCGTACCTCTTTACCCGACACGTTGGTGAGCACCCGCAGCATGTTGTGGTCCACAGAGAAGATGAAGACCTGCAGCACACACACACACACACACACACACACACACACACACACACACACACACACACACACACACACACACATACCCGTTTGAGACGTTGTAAGGACATTTTTTCTAAAATCCCTTTAAACCAGACTGTACATAGGTATACGGGGACACTGGGTTCCCGTGGTGCTAGAGCCTCGAAAATCATATCAATGATCATGAAAAAAATCACAGAACCTATACACGGCTTAAAATTTAAAGATTTCCTTTGCTGCACTGAGATATAAAAAATGACTGTTTTCAAGACTTTTCAGGGGTTTGTAAAGACTTTTCAAAAACACGGTCTATAAGGACAGTGTGGTTTACAAGGTCAGTGATGTGCATTATACACACACACACTATGTATAACCTGGTTTGAAAGGACACATGGTCTGTGAGGCCTGGTCCGCACACACATACACTGTGTATAACCTGGTTTGAAAGGACACATGGTCTGTGAGGCCTGGTCCGCACACACATACACTACATGTATATGGGCATTAAAATTGCAAGGCAAGTTTATTTGTATAGCACCGTACATACACAAGGCAACTCAAACACTTAACAAAAACAAACTGAAACAATCACATGAGGCATAAATAGAAATTATAAATAATCACAGTGCATTAAAAAAAGAGTACAGATAAAATCCCTCAGTGGTATGTACAGCTAAACAGAACTGTTTTAACCTGAATTTGAACAGAATTTGTCAGAAAAGAAGCCTCACAAGTCATACAATTTCAGGAAGACATCCATCTTAAAGATCGAAACCACTCCCCCCTCCCCTCTCCTCTCCACCAAACCAAACATCCAGCATTTTCTTTTCTTTGTCACAACAGGGAGAGTGGGTAGCAAACGTGAAATTGGCATTTTCTGTCAGGTTTTAGAAAATAATCCGATAACTCAGGTGCGCACACTCGCGAGAAACAGGAAGAGGGTGAAGGGGGTAAACACATCCCAATGGTTCGTTGGGGATGAACAAATCCCATTGGTTTATTTTTATCGGTCCGCTCCAAAATATTTTTCATACATTTTTGGAGACTATAGGTACAGTACATTTTTCACAACAAAAATGCGTCTGGAAAAAAATCACTGACTGCATCTTTAAATGCTGCCTCCCCATGTTTAGTCGTGACTCTGGGCACCAGCAGGAGGCCAGTCCCTGTGCTCCATATGGCACTAACATGTCTCAGAGGTACTTTAGTGCGAGGCCATGACAGACTTGTACACAAGCAGAGCTGCTTCAAAGTCTATTCTCAGTGCCTGTGCAGAGACTGCAGGTGAAGGTGGGTCAGGTGAAAAAGTTTCTAATACGATTCACAAGTCTCAGAGGGGACATTACTTGGTGTCGCACGCACAGAATGAAGTCCTGTTGTTGGAAAGTACAGTATACTTCACCGTGTGCATGATAAACTCCCCATAGTCCATTCTGAGGCCAGTGGTCCTGGTACTATAGCATCGTGATGCAGATGCCTGATGTAGAATGTCAGAAGTTTGTTTTGATCCTGTATTTCTCCAACACGGGTCCAAACAAATCGCTGAGCCGAGTGTGACATCACCATAGTGTCAATGTGGAAGACGCTGATTTGAACATAAGCTATAATATCCTTGGATGGGCATGTGTTAGAGTTGTGCTTTAACACGGGAAGACGTGTTGCTAAGATGGTTGCTAAGATAATCTGGGGGTTCCCAAGAGAATGAAGGAATCTCATTCCTCATATCATTACAAAATATAGACACCAGGATCATAGAGATTGAGCCCTCAAACACTGTTTTTTTAAGCCCAAAATGATGAGTGTGACACAAACGGTAACTGAGCTAGAGGAGTTTACTTTTCAATGTAAGTCAATAGGAGCCAGAGCGAGTTGGAGCCAAACTTTGTCTATGAGCACTTCCCTATTGGACTTCCTTGAGATTGCGGACAGGCATTGTCCATCTACATACAGTCTATGGTTTGTCGACATTTGATCCTGGGTTTAAATACTAGGTCCACTGTATGAAAACACCATTATAGAGGAGTTTGGGGTAATGTGCGTGTATGTGTGTGTGTTTTGCGTATGTGTGTGCGCGCATGTAGGTAGTAAACTCGGGCCCCAGTCGCTCCCAGGACACTGTGGTGGAGGTGCTGCTGCCTCGGTCTCTCGCCCCTCACCCTCACAGACTCATGCAGCTCACAGACTGGCAGGTACACACCTTTAACCTCACGATACCACAACTGTTCATTTGGGATCATTAGAAAAACATTTTATTTTATTTATTATATAGTTATTGTTCATGTATCTTTTGCTCATTCCTACTGTTCTGTAACCGGTGATGCAACACTTACATTTCCCCACTGTGGGACAAATAAAGGATTACAGGAGTTAGATCTGAGGTTGTTTGCATGTGTGGCAGGTGTCCCAGGGCATCTGCGGCCTCGGGGAGAGGGCGCTCTCAGTGCAGGACGACTGTGCGGTGCCTCACGCCTCTCTGCTCCAACAGCTGGTGTTCTTCTTCTCTCCTCAAGCCACACGCCTCCTGGTAACACACACACACACGCACACACACACACACACACACACACCTCCAGGTGACACACACACACACACATTTCTTTCTGCATAAAGTACTACAAATTTCCATGTTAATTAATAAGTTGAGTACAAACACCTGCAAAGCATATATGTGACAGTCGGATAGATAGATAGATCGATAGATACTTTATTGATCCCCGTTGGAGAAATTCAGGTGTCCAGTAGCAGCAAAAATAAAATTGATAATTCTAAAAAGACATAGACAACATCTGGCTCTTGGGACGTGGAACGTCACCTCACTGGGGGGGAAGGAGCCCGAGCTTGTGGGGGAGGTCAAGCGATACCGACTAGAGATAGTCGGCCTCACCTCCACACACAGCTTGGGCTCTGGAACCCAACTCCTTGAGAGGGGTTGGACGCTCCACTTTTCTGGTGTTTCCCGCGGGGAGAGGCGGCGAGCTGGGGTGGCCATACTCATTGCCCCCCATCTCAGCCGCCACGTGTTGGAGTTCTCCCCGGTGAATGAGAGGGTCGCGTCCCTCCGCCTCCGGGTGGTGGGACAAGTCTCTCACGGTTGTGACGGCCTACGGGCCTAACGGTAGTGCAGAGTACCCGGCCTTCTTGGAGTCCTTGGGAGGGGTACTGGACAGTGCACCGCCCGGGGACTCCGTTATTCTCCTGGGGGACTTCAACGCCCATGTGGGAAATGCCAGTGACACTTGGAGAGGGGTGATTGGGAAGAGCGGCCCCCCTGATCTGAACCCGAGCGGTGTTCAGTTGTTGGACTTCTGTGCCAGTCACGGCCTGTCCATCACAAACACCATGTTCGAGCACAAGGGTGTCCATCAGTGCACGTGGCACCAGGACACCCTAGGCCGGAGGTCGATGATCGACTTTGTAGTTGTATCATCTGACCTTCGACCGCGTGTCTCGGACACTCGGGTGAAGAGAGGGGCGGAGCTGTCAACCGATCATCACCTGGTCGTGAGTTGGATCCGCTGGCAGGGCAGGAGGCCGGTCAGACCTGGCAGGCCCAAGCGTGTAGTGAGGGTTTGCTGGGAACGTCTTGGTGAGCCCCCTGTCAGACGGACTTTCAACTCACACCTCCGGGAGAGCTTCTCCCAGGTCCCGGCAGAGGAGGGGGACATCGAGTCCGAGTGGACCATGTTCTCTTCCTCTATCGCCAATGCGGCGGCTCGTAGCTGTGGTCGCAAGGTCTCTGGTGCTGGTCCCGGCGGCAATCCCCGAACCCGGTGGTGGACACCGGCAGTAAGGGATGCCGTCAGGCTGAAGAAGGAGTCCTATCGAGCAATGATGGTTCGTGGGACTCCTGAGGCAGCTGTCCAGTACCGGCAGGCCAAACGTGCCGCGGCCCGGGCTGTTGCAGAGGCAAAAACCCGGGACTGGGAGGAGTTCGGAGAGTCCATGGAGCATGACTATCGGTCGGCCTCGAAGAGGTTCTGGCAAACCGTCCGGCGCCTCAGGAGGGGGAAGCAGTTCTTTGCCAACACCGTGTATGGTGCGGGTGGAGGGCTGCTGACCTCGACTGGGGATATTGTCGGGCGGTGGAAGGAATACTTCGAGGTTCTCCTCAATCCCCCCGTCACGTCCTCCGTCCAGGAGGCAGAGGCTGAGGATGTTGGGGCGGATACTTCCATCTCCCTGGCCGAGGTCACCAAGGTGGTTGGCAGCCTCCATGGTGGCAAGGCGCCGGGAGTGGATAAGATCCGTCCTGACTATCTAAAGTCTCTGGATGTTGTAGGACTGTCTTGGCTGACACGTCTCTGCAACATCGCGTGGCGATCGGGGGCGGTGCCAATGGAGTGGCAGACCGGGGTGGTGGTCCCTCTCTACAAGAAGGGGGACCGGAGGGTGTGTTCCAATTATCGTGGGATCACACTCCTCAGCCTCCCCGGTAAGGTCTACTCCAAGGTACTGGAGAGGAGGCTACGTCCGATGGTCGAATCTCGGATTCAGGAGGAGCAGTGTGGTTTTCGTCCTGGTCGCGGAACACTGGACCAGCTCTATACTCTCCATCGGATACTCGAGGGTTCATGGGAGTTCGCCCAACCTGTCCACATGTGCTTTGTGGATTTGGAGAAGGCGTTCGACCGTGTTCCCCGGGGTGTCCTTTGGGGGGTCCTCCGGGAGTACGGGGTCCGGGGTCCTCTGCTGAGGGCTGTTCGGTCCCTGTATGACCGGAGCCAGAGCTGTGTTCGCATTGCCGGCAGTAAGTCAGACCTGTTCCCGGTGCATGTTGGCCTCCGCCAAGGCTGCCCTTTGTCACCGGTTCTGTTCACTGTATTCATGGACAGAATCTCTAGGCGCAGCCAGGGGCCGGAGGGGGTCCGGTTTGGGAACCACAGGATTTCATCTCTACTTTTTGCGGATGATGTCGTCCTGCTGGCTCCAACGAACCAGGACCTGCAACATGCACTGGGACGGTTTGCAGCCGAGTGTGAAGCGGCTGGGATGAGAATCAGCACCTCCAAATCCGAGGCCATGGTGCTCAACCGGAAAAAGGTGCCTTGCCCTCTCCAGGTGGGTGGAGAGGTCCTTCCTCAAGTGGAGGAGTTCAAGTATCTCGGGGTCTTGTTCACGAGTGAGGGGAGGATGGAGCGTGAGATTGACAGGCGGATCGGTGCAGCGTGCGCAGTGATGCGGTCTCTGTATCGGACCGTTGTGGTAAAGAGGGAGCTGAGCCGAAAGGCACAGCTCTCAATTTACCGGTCAATCTTCGTTCCCTCCCTCACCTATGGTCATGAGCTGTGGGTAATGACCGAAAGAACGAGATCGCGGATACAAGCGGTCGAAATGAGCTTCCTCCGCAGAGTGGCTGGGCGCTCCCTTAGAGATAGGGTGAGGAGCTCGGTCACACGGGAGGAGCTCGGAGTAGAGCCGCTGCTTCTCCACGTCGAGAGGAACCAGTTGAGGTGGCTCGGGCATCTGTTCAGGATGCCTCCTGGACGCCTTCCTGGGGAGGTGTTCCGGGCACGTCCCACCGGGAGGAGGCCCCGGGGAAGACCCAGGACACGCTGGAGAGACTATGTCTCTCAGCTGGCCTGGGAACGCCTTGGGGTCCCCCCGGACGAGCTGGAGGAGGTGTGTGTGGATAGGGAAGTCTGGGCGTCTCTGCTTAGACTGCTGCCCCCGCGACCCGGCAACGGATAAAGCGGAAGAAAATGGATGGATGGATGGATTCTAAAAAGATAACAATAGTAATCATCAGTTGTCACATGTAACGGTCTGATGTCACATGTAACGGTCTGATGTCACATGTAACGGTCTGATGTCACATGTAACGGTCTGATGTCACGTGTGTGTGTGTGCAGTTCTGCGCGCACAGAGACCCTGTGTGTGAGCGTCTCATCTGTCATCTGGGGCCCCTGGAGGCCGGACGAGTGGCCACCATCCACCTGGAGACGGCCCTGAATCCCGCGGTGCTGCTGCAGGCGCCGGTACCACCACACACACATGCACATACCCACACACACACACACACACGCACACACACTGCCCTTACGCATGCCTCACAAACATATAAGGCAATTGACTCCAGATTCCTGCTGAGTGTGGCTGATGTTGTGGACAGGGAGCAGTCTGTGCAGGTGTTTTAGTCTGAACCTCAGCTTCTTCAATATTTCATTTCTTATTGAGGTGTGATGTGTTCCAGGGCCGACACAGCGTCATGAAGCTGGAGAGTCTGGCGTTTGTGGCACGTCCTGTTGCTGACCTGCACACGGTGGTGACGAGCGAGCAGCGCCACGCCCAGGTACACGCTGCTTCTTTTGAACAACCCTTAGTAACATTTATGGACAGAGGTCAACTTTGTGTCTTTGGCGCACAACCGGGACATCAGCCGCATGAGTAGAGTGAGCAGAATGAAATGTGTGAGAAGTTATGATTCTTTGCTGTTAATATTTGATGTAACTGTCATATTGTGTAGACATTAAATGTGGATGTTCATTTTTTATATTTTAGTGGTCATAGGATTACAGATAAAAAATATTAAAGTCATATTTACGGAATTCCCAGATATAAATAAATACACGATATTAGTTCTTTTAAGGTTTTCCGTTGAACTGGAGTCTGTGCAGTCTCCATTGTAAGCAGTGCTGTGTGTGTGTAGGTCCAGGTGGTGGCGCTGTTCTCTCAGAAGCCCTCTGCAGCGGTCAGAGTGCTACTGCTGGTGGTCAGTCTGCTCCTGGGGCTGCTCATCCTGGCTCTGCTCATCTACTGCCTCTGGAAGGTACGCCTCACACCAGCATTCTAGACTCTGTTAATTAGGGGTGGGAACCTCAGGGTACCTCACGATACAATACGATACGCGATACGAAGCTCACGATAACGATTATATCACATTATGACAATTATCGATATATTGGTCAGAAATTTTTACGTGTCTTTGTTGGTTTCCCCCACCGCTAAAGACATAAATGTTACACTCTGGCTCTTAAGGTGCAACATCAAGGAAAAAGGGCAACTATAAGTTAAGATAAATCCTTAACAACAGAAACAGGGGATTGGCAAAAAGAAAAAGGGGAAGAATGGTGTGTGGTTAGAATTTGTATGTATGTCCCCGTAATTAATATAAACCTCAGCCCTAACTGCAGATTGTTATGTGTCCATCTTTTGCTAGCAGTGTCATTTGGCCTACTGGATTTTTGTTCATTCGTTTGCCCCGCGCCCCCCACTTTGGGAACCACTGTTCTAATGTCCGTCTCTGTGCTGGAGAGAAGGATGAGGGCTAATGCAGGACATCCTGGGTAACTCCAGACACCCTCGGCATGACACTATGGCCGCTCAGAGGAGTAACTGTAGCAACACTGCGCTGCCGTACAGAACATTTTAAAAGATCCTGTTTTTACGCTGGATTTGAAAACTGTCTTTCTCACATTTTCAGGAGGATTGTTCTAGATTTTAGACGCATAAATCTGAAACGTTTCCTCTAAATTGATGTGTTTTTCTGCTGCTGGACACCTGAGTTTTTCCTACGGGGGAGCACAAAGTATCTATCTAATGCATCATGACAAAGCATTTGGGAGAAGATGCCTTGTCACAGAAATCACTGATAAAAAAGGATTTGTATGTTTGTTTCAGGCCGGTTTCTTCAAGAGAGAACTGCAGAAGAAGAAGATGAAGAGGGACAGCTGGGACTATGTTCCCAAACTTGGTCCTAGAGAGAGCTTCTCCTAAAGGACAAGAGGACCTCTGCAGGGAAGGACACAAAGCCCATGACTCTTGGTCTGCTTTTCTCTGCCCTTCATGTGTCTGTGAGCGGCTCAGAGCCCAGAACCCACGGGAGGGAGCTGAAGCCACAAAGATGCATCCTGTCAACTATGACCCACTGTGAAGCTCGGGCCCCGCGGGTGAACTGAAAGTGGCACGTTCTACTCGGCTTCATTTGTTCCTCACAGTCTCCCTTCAGGCTCGGAGCAGAAGGCTGAGGTCCTTCATCTTTAACTCGGGTCGTCCAGGACTCATCACGTCATCTCGGCTCCGATCTGTATGAGGCCTTTGGTCTCTGGGCCGGATAACTTTTTCGCCATCACACTGATCATTTACACAGTATTTGCCTTAATTTTGTGAACTAAAGTAGCACCCAGGACTGCACCCTCCACATGAGCCATGAACCTAGAGCGAATAGACTGTTATAGTTCAAATACACAAGAAAACGTGTACATGGGCCCTGGTGTATCGCAGGGTAACGTTCTAAATATAACAAGTGAAATCCTTGAAGTAGCAGCTGTATGTTTTAAGGCTGTTAAACCTCTCACACACGTACACTTTTCCAACCACCTGAACTCACGAATGCTGAAGTGCAATCAGAGAGATATCAAACCTGTTGGTTGTAGGTGTCAAAAGCTGTGCATACATTGTTAATACAGCCGCAGAGGACGGCGCGCTGAGGGACAGGAACAGGACTGAGGACTACAGTAAGACCTCTGTAGTCCTTTGAACTAATATCCGCAGTGCACACAAACGTATTCTCCTGACTTTAAACAAAGGTAACTGTCATGCTATACTCATGGTTGTATATGATGTTGTTGGAGTATACACGCACAAAAAATCTGTGAGGCCATGAAAGTGCACAGTGTGAGTGAGAGACCACGGCACATGCACTCTGTTAATCCGTCCATGTTTCGGTTGATCCACCAAAATATATAAGAGTGTATATTTGTTATAAATATGTGGTGAAACTATGGCCAAAGATAAATGTTTAGAACTAAATACTGTTTTTTTTAAATAGTTTTTGTTATTTAAGTGCAATTTTTTAATATAAAGAGTATATTTAGTGATGCTGTGTCCTCTAAGCACAGTTGGATCGTGAACACTTGCCCCTTGGGCACCGGCAGTGCAGTGGTTAGCACTTGTGCATCACAGCAATAAGGTCCTGGGTTCGATACCACAACAGGCCTTTTCTGTGTGTAATTTGCACATTCTTCCTGTGTCTGCAAGTGTGCTCCGGTTTCCCCTTCCATTAATAACATGTACAATAGTCCCCCTTAACACCCCTTGACCCCTCTTTCTAAAGTCTCAGCGAGAGTTTCCTGGTGAAATAAATGTCAATAAATAAAATGTATTTTCTTGAAGGGGGGGAATTCAGCCGATTGCTAGTTTTTAGTTGAGGCTTGAGGCAGCTCGTGTGGAGCCTTGAGACGGACTACTGACTGCACTGTGTGTAGTGTGTATACTGTGTGTACTGTATACTGTGTGTACTGTGTACTGTACATGTTGGATCTACTGTAGACGTCGTTCACCTGGACCAAAAATGTCATGTTTTATTTTACCACTAAAATGACGTGTCTATTTATTGTTCTGCTTTCTGATGATCGTCTTGAACCAAATGTAAACATGAGAAGCACCAAAGCAATTGTGTCCAATGTTTTTGTAAAAAGGAATAAATCAACTACAGCTGTTAACTATTTGCCTTTTATCAGACCGCTTATGAACATTAAAAAACATATATAATTTATTAATTCTATACATGAAGCAGGGCACATGAAATGTATCAATAAGCATGTATAAAAGAAGGGTCTCTGGCAGCAGGAGTTCTGGGCCCCAGAGGAGAGCAGGGTCCTCGATCAGATGCAGCCGCAGGAGGCAGAGGACTCAGCCTGGTCCACTTCCTGTCCGTACAGACACATGAGTCGAGGATGGACCCTGGACACACACACAACTCATGGGTCAGGAGCTACGTCCTTCACAAACAACAGTGTCGTCATTATACCAGAGGTGTCCAAACCGGTCAAGAAAGGGCCGCTGTGGCTGCAAGTTTTCTATCAGACCCAGCAGGAGCAGCGCAGACTCCTCCCATTTCCTCAAATCTTCAGGGTAAGACTGAATTTACTTGAGGAAGTGGGTGGAGTCTGCTCTGTTCCTGCTGGGTCTGACCTGCAGCCACAGCGGCCCTTTCTGGACCGGTTTGGACACCTCTGCATTATACTATTCAAGATGATTCCTATTGAATATTTTACACTATAGGATTTCTGAAACTACTAGAACTACCAGAGCATGGTTTTTTACAACTTTTATTAAAATGACACAGTTTTTATCTTTAATACATGGTAAAACTGGAAAATGTAACTGAAATACAGCCAAGCTAAATACTAACTGCTGCAAGTACACAGTGTGTCGCTATGGTAACTAGTATTTGCTCCAAACTGAGATTGAACCAGTCCGGGATCAGTCCAGGCTCAGTCCAGGAGCAGTGCAGGACCGAGATGAACAAAATTACATTGAAATAAACAACATTTAGATGCAAGAAAACATTAAGTCATAAAGACCAAAAACACACATAAACGGAGTAGTTACATTTCCAAAATGAATAGCCGTCAAATTGACTGCTGTGGGAGTTCTAGTATTGACCACACCCTTAAAATATAATTATTATAAAATATGGAATAATCAAGCAGAATGTTAATCACTTTCTTGTAAGAATCACCATGATGTGAGCGTGGTTTAGTAAAGTTTATCTGATAACTGAAAACTTTACTGCTCAGAGGCCAATGCAATACAATGGTCAACTTTCAATTCAGCACGATTTGGCACAATATACAGTATTACTAAACAATTCGAAATACTTTAAAATAATGTACTTTACAAATGTAAGGAATAATATAAAAAAACACCATTATTACATATGATTTTAAAAAATATATAGTAATTGAAAAAAAAAAACAATTAAATGTCAATATTTATCTAAAAATATTTTTCAACAGCTTCAATATGGTTCAAAATTAAATTACATGAATCGCTATAGCACTAAATCACAGCAGTAGTTGTCTTGGAGGACGTTACCAAGCTGTTGATTGGCCCAAACAGATCTGTTTTAATTTTAAATGTGAAATTATTTTAGACTCATCACAAATGTTTTTGTTTGTTATAATGTTGATGATTGTGGATTAAGTCCATTTTCTAAATTTTCTCATTTTCTGTCATGTTTATTTGGGGTTTTTACTGTGAACCAAAAACCAACACTGGCCTTTTCAACGATGTTTGGATTTTCTGAGTTTCACCTGCGGAGGACCTCCTGCTGCAGTGGGAGCCCTGACCCCTGACCATTGACCTTTGACCCCTAACACCTGGCCCGGTCTGAGCAGCGCTCACTCACCTGATGAGGACTTCCTGCTGCAGTGGGACCAGTTCTCCATCGATGTTCCAGGGTAAGGCTCCTCTCTGCAGCTGCAGCGCAACGGACTCCGAGCCGCTCTGTGATTGGACGATGGGCAAGGCGCTGCTCTCTGACTGGACGGCCTCTTCCTCGCTCTCCTCCTCTGAGCCAATGGCAGCGCGGGGGCAGATCTTCACGGCGGTGACGTTGTGAGCCTCGACGAATGGGAAGTCAAGCTGGAAAATAGGTGGCGATGTCAACATTGGAAAGAAAAAATAAATAATTTCTGAGAGCGACAGGGATGGAAAAAATACCTGGATGTTTAGGTCAAAGAACAGAAATACAAGAGAGTCCTATCACATGAACATAGGTACAAAAAGTTGGAGTACCGCACTTTCATTGTCTGTCCCAACAGAAGAGAGAGGAAATGTTGTTGTGAACAAAAATACGGCATTTAAGATAAAACCCTTCATTTGCACAGATAAACAGAACTGTTTTAACCTGGACTTGAACATTGCCAGAGCAGAAGCCCGTCTCAGATTTTCAAGACTGTTCCAGAACACACAGTTGGGCATTTTAGTGAAACAGTGATGCATCTGTACTTGTATTTAAGGATTCGTCATCGAATTCATATTTTATATTAATAAACTACTAATTATTTTATTTTATTTTATTTTTTTAAGCCTGGAGGAAACCTATGCAGACACAGTGATAACATGCAAACTCCACACAGGAAGGCCCCATCTGGAGGTGGAATTTATCCCAGGATCTAAGTGTACAGTACAACGTTTGAAATGTTAAGAAAGTAATTTGTCATTACAGGAACTGATGTTCCTCTAAGCTCCAGCAGAGGGCAGCACACACTCATCCCATCCATGTGCCATATGTGACTATTATAAAAGCTTTATAAAGACCCAAACAAAAGGGCTCTGAATGTGTTGTTTAATAATCACTGCAAAAAAATATTTGAAAAGAAGCACTGGATGATGGTGCAAAAGTACCGGTCTTAAGTTTTGACCTAGAAGTATAGACGAATTGGAAAACCAAGGACTCAAATTGGCCAGCATTTTGTAAGTGCTGGTCCTGTGCTGGTCCTGTGCTGGTCCTGGACTGGCCCTGGACTGGCCCTGGACTGGTCCTGAGTTGAGCAGCACTTGTTTTTCCCACCAGAGAAGAGCAAGTGCCTGTTAGCAACATATGCAGCAGTAATTCAAGTTATATTCACCCGTTTTAGCGCAGGAAAGGTAAGGTAAAAAATCGTATCACTGTCTTACTTTTAATAAAACTAAAAACTAAAATTGTTCAATTAATTTGAATGGGAGTTCAAGTAGTTGTTTCATGTCACAGAGAATATGACGATGAACTGTGCTCAGGTTTCTCCTACCAGTCATAACACGCACACCAGGTCCGCCATGTGCCTCCTGTATGGCATACCTCATAACAGTTGTAAAGTGCTTTGTGATGTCATCACTCTGTCAGTCCACTCCTAATATACAGTCCATGTCAAATACAAATAAAAAACGTGTCACAATTAGGGCCGAGATTTTAACGCGTTATTTTTGTGTAATTATTTAATCTTAATTAACTCATGAAGTTTTTTTGGACACAGGTTTACTACTCTACTATACTCTACTCTACTGTACTCTACCCTGCTCTACTCAGCTCTACTCTATCATTGAGCAACAGGGACAGGTGTGTGGGATATGGAGGATTGGCCCACTTGAGCTGCGTCCAGCGCAGCCGGAATCTGACCTGCTTTCTCACCGCACTGACCTGTTCTAGATCCACTACATGTGTCCAGAGGCAGCTCAACCGAATAAGAGGGGATACAAATATGCTTTTGAGCACGGAAAGTTTTACTTTTACGAAAATCAGGGTTTGTGAAAGGTGTTTTGTAAAGGTGTAGATGACACTGCTCTGTCTATCCTTTCCAAAGGCGACCAAAGCTTTCTCAACTTTTGACCAGGTAGTTTACAAAGAACTTAACACAGTTCATGTTTCTCTCCATGAGCTCCTGGCTCATAGGCTCTAAGGAACCTTGTCTTAAAATCAATGGGGATGTGGAAGACCACCCTTGAGGTCAATGGCATCAGGAATAGAGCCATGCATTTGAGCATGTTTCAGACACTACTCAATCCAAACATTTCATGTGATTCATATATTTAACAAAGAGCCACAGGGGTCATACAACAGAGCAGGGGTCTCAAACACGTGGCCCAAAAGGCATTTTGTGGCCCCTAGTGGACATCAACAGGGCAGCTGTGGCTACAGTAGTTTATCACCACCGTTTAAGGAGTGAATGAATAATGCCGTGAAGCGTCTTTGAGCGTCCAAAAAAATGCTAAATATAACTAATGTATTATGAATTTCCATACCTGTCCACTGGGGGCGCCAAGTCTCTTCAGATGTTTGATAAACTGTGTTCTGGAAGTGTTGCCAACGGTGATGAGTGCTGCGCTGCCATTGGCCAGTCTGAAACAACAAGTGGACAACAAAGGTGTGGTGAGAAAGTCGAGAAAATGATTTGAATGGTTTAGGAAATCTAAGCTGCCACTTTTCAGAATAAATCAAATACCTTTTCACTTTGAGGTGATTTGGCACAGCTCATGTTTTTTGAACATTTCGTCCATTTTTACGTGTATCATTTTGAGGTATGTCTCACAGTCAAACATACAAACGCCATCACTTTACCTCCTGTGGAGTCTTTTTTAGAGTCACCATTCTTACACCAGAGCCCCCATCACCCTCTGGCTCCTCTGTCTACCACACATTACTGTTTTACTTTCTTTAACTTTTCTCTTTTCTGAATCAATCCAAATTTGTAGGTGATAAGATTGCTTAAAAAGGCAGGAAAAATCAACACCGCTCTGTCTATGAGAGCTTTTCAAAAGCCTAGTGTCCAACAACTTCTTACTCTAGGTTAATCCCATTAATAAAGACTGAAGTAAAGCGGTCCGTTGAGAGAAGCTGGTGTGGATTCTCCTGCACGTAATTACATAAACTTATCCTTATGAGACAACAGCAGTGATGCATTTAAGAGCACAGTGATAAAAGCCGAAATTGTATCGGAAATGTATGTGTTTGGACGGATATAGACGACTCTAATATTGTTCTGGATCAGTACACAGTTCCTCTGTTACGGATTTTTTTTGCAGAGACGAGACTAAAACTTCTCAGACCTGTTTGAGAATCCATGAAATACAGAGCAGTTTTTGAGCGTTCTCCGTGTTTGTATGTTTTTGGAATCCCACTCAAAGATATAAGCAACATATGGTATGGTATGGTATTTACTTGAACAGGGATAGTGTACAATTAAATATTAACTCAAGGGAGAGACATATTGTACCAGGTTATACCCAAAAATTCTAATTTCCACCTGTAGCCCCTGTAGTGTGGCTGAAGATGAAGCTGTTCTGACCTGGTGTTGGGGGCCAGTCCTCGGGGCGTGTACGGACTCAGACCTGGGATGGACATGACGCTGATGTTCAGGTACAGGCCCTGATTGGTCGTCCAGGACTCCTCCTCTGCATCAGCCAATCACAGAGCAGAACACTATCACTGCACCCGACAGAGAAGAGTAATGGTCAGAGTATTGGTGATACCTGTGTGTGTGGAGTTCTGCTCACAATCCTCTGAGCTGTGGAAGAAAACACCATCACATTTACTACATTGCTCAAAATGTACTATTAACGGCTTATTAACCGAGCGCGAGGTCTGTATGGCCTTGGCCTTTTTGCACAGACCTCGCCACGGCTCGGTCTGTACATTAAGGCCGCGGTCTGATATTTCTCTGCACAGACCGAGCAAGCGAGGTTAATAAAGTTTTTTTTTTTTTTTTTTTTTGCGCTGCTGTAAGCCATGGTTGCCAAGGAATTTCTCCAGATATTGGTTGGCTTTGGGTAGGTTGCTAGGATACCAGTTACTAAAGCGTAATGGAAGCACAACCAGGCGGAGTAAAGAAGAGCAGAGCAGAGAAGAGTAGAGTGAAATACATGTAGAGTGTAGAAAAGTAGAGTAGAGCATAGTAGAGTAGAACAGTAGAGTACAGTATAGTAGAGTAGTGTAAAGCTGGTGGAAACAGGGCTCATTATATGACATTAAACGCAAAATGGGAAATATTAAGCTTTTGTTTGTTGATCATTATGGCTCACAGCTGTAAAAAAAATATAGAAAATGAAATACAGCTAATCAATTATTTCAGAACTAATTCTAAATGGAAAAATCATCATCTGGATTAAGACAGACTTTAAACTGTGTTCATCTGGAGGTCTCTACCACTGAAATGACCACTGGGACATTTCACCCAACAGCAACCATGTTACAACATTGTTCCTCATCAAAAACGGACCTGGGGTTGTTTTTTGGTCCATCCAGGCTATTATCAGGATATATTCTGGCGCTAATCCGTAAGTCCTCCCCTTCTGTCTAAAAGCTCCTGTCTCAGACCTGTAATAGTATTGTGTTATTGTGATTAATATTTGTTCTTGAAGATAATCTAATCATTGTCACAATTGCAAACATAACTGTTGAGATTCTAGCTAACAAATGGTATTACGAAAAAAATGCTTGTAAGTTACAGTCCTAAAGGTTTGGGACTTAAAGAAGAAAATATACACATCATTGTTGTCCATAACATTTTTAATGAGACTATTTAATTTTCTGGGTCGGGGGGGTAGCAGTCCTCCTGCAGGTGGTGAGTCCACAGGATGACAGCTGCTGTTAGTGAGAGCATAGCCTTGATCTGTAGATGGGGGCTTCAGCCAAAGTGGAGTTAAGGCCAAAGCTCTACCAACTGAGATGGATGTATGGATGGACTATTTACACCAATATATTTCATATTTTAGAATGTGAAATATTATCTTTAGTAGAAAATATATGGTGAAACAAGTATGAAAGATTAAAACAATGCTATTAGCCTGTAACTCCCTGTGCTACCACCAGAGGGAGGAGTAGTATTAGTTTTTGTGTTTGCAATATTTTTGTTGTAAGTGTGATGTCATAGTGGCACAATGATAACACACCATTACAGGATCGTGGAGTGTTTAGACAGAGGGGGTGGAGTTACACGTTAGTCCCCGAAGTTGCTAATATTAGTGTAGATGAAGTAAAAACTCAAAAAAGTTGAGTTGCATATTATGTCTTCTATACATCAAACGTCTCACCTGGAGCTGGACGTCTTGGTCTCCACGAAGGACACCTCACAGTCGACTGGTCTGAGAGGACAGAACCAGTCACATACATTTGATTCAGTTACAATAAAAGTGTGTAAGTGTGTGTGTCACATGTCCTACCGCAGCCGGGACAGCGTCTTGACCACAGCGTAGTCGCATCTTTGCGCAGAGGGCATCCAGCGCCTCTTCTCAGCACAGGCTAAGCTCCGCCCCCCGAAGCCCAGCATGGCGGTGAAGCCGTACCGCACCAGGCTCCCGCAGGACCAGAAACTGCACATGTCCACGCGCTGGACTCGCCCTGGGACAGACAGACTTGACTGCATGTGTGCAGACCATAGACATTGTGCTGAACCTTTATAGACTTAATCAAGATTAAAGAGCGACTAAACACCTGTGACCAGCCTCACTCCGCCCACATGAAGATTTGAAAATTTTCTCTGAAAAGGGCGTTGCTTGGAGGACCAAGGGACAAGAAGGGGGGCTTAGAGTTGGGCGTGGTCTGGGCTGTGATTGACAGTTCACTAGTCACACGAGAAAAAAAACACAGACAATCGTCATTGCTGCTTAAAGCAATAGTTTACACACCAGAAAGTATCATTCCGCCCGTGTTTACACACTAAGATAATTGTAGAGCTACACACCTGAACCTAAGCCATTGATTTATCTCAGCAGCTGTGGTTGTCAACTCATGTAATTTAATTATAATCCACTAGAGGGCGCCAGAATAATGCAACCTGCTGCTGGGGCGTGTGTGAGAGTTGAATATGTTTATATCACTGGCGCAGACAGACGCACGTCACACATACAAACTGATGTCACTCAGAATTACAGAGTCAATGGAGAGGCCAGGACCAAATTCAAATGTAGTACCACCGAAAAGGTTTGAGAGGGCGCCACACAGACTGAGATTTTATCTAATCTGCACTAAAATGTCAAAAAAATGACCAGGATGTGTAGAGAGCACTACAATAAACATATTTACATCCAGTTTATGAGTTAGAAAAAGTTGATTTGGTGTTTAGTCGCTCTTTAATGGACATTGGTCATCCGCCCGTTAAGCACCAATGGCTCCATGTGTTTTTATCAATGCATTTCTTGTGATTTGTATGGTCCTCTGAGATAACTACTGTTGTAATTTAGGCCTATATAAAAGATAATTGAATTGAATTATACATTGGGCTTGGATGTACTGTATCATACCGTATTAGGTGGATAGGGTGTGACTGCTTAAAGCCGTCTCCATGAAAAAAGGGCCATCGCCATCATTCTCCCAATGATCACTAAAACAGCTCGTCCTCAGCTGAAAGGGAAACTAGCTTTCACAAGGTCAGCTTGTGTGGGGATTTTAGTTAGAACATTGATGGGGGACTATGGGGACAATCTCCTATACAGCCCATGTGAATTTAGACTGACGTGACGTGGTTTAGGCAGCCTGTTCAGGGTATTTAATGCATGGGTCCCCAACCTATAGCTCCGGAGCTACCAGTGGCTCCCCACCCTTTTCAGAGTAGCTCCCCAAAGGATAATCTTAAATATCTAAAAATGGCTACTCTTTGTACAAATAAATAATAATGGATTGGTTTATGGGTTTAACGCTACACAACAAAATATACCAAAAAATAGATTACAATTTTAGAATTTTCACGGTCTTAAACAAGATTTGTCAATGGGAAAATAAATAAATTTGCTATATACTGTATGTGCTTGAATTAAGACTAAAGCTGGTTGTTTCATTGTTTTGAGAAAAGTTTTAGAATCAATACAAAATCTACAGATCTGTTGAAGCACACCATCGACTGTCTAAAAGGAGAATATCGCTCTGCCACTTTTGTCCAGAAAAAGTAGTTTTCCCAGGCAAAAGGTTGGAGAGCTCTGTTACAATGCATCCATGAGAGAATGTGCTGGGAGTGATATGTGCTTGTTTGGTGATCTGATGAGGTGAGTCCCCGAGTGAAGAGAAGCTGCCATCTGTGCCACATCTGCCCCTGGGTTATGTTTCAGAGAGATGTGACCAACACTTATCTAACGGTCACTGATGCAGACACTGACCCTCCAGACTGAGTCCACTGCAACCTGTTGGATTTGGCCCGCACAACAGTTTTTGTGGTGATTTTTCAATTTTTACATTAACTTATAGCATTGATTTTACCAGGCTAATATGGCTATATGGCAAGGCAGGTGGGGGCGGGTCCCGGCTCCAAAAGATCCATGAGAGCGTGTGCTGACATGCTTGCAATCATGGTCCAAAACTCGTCTCTTGGCCCAACGCTATGTTCCAGATGAGTGTCAATGCTGAGGAGAGTAATTCTTTTTGGATCAGTCTTGATTAGGCACAGTGTACTTCTGAATGCACTCGTTGATGAATGAATGAATGGGGCACACGTCGGCTAACGCATGCGCAAATGCGCTTTTTCACATTTTCCTGCCCGATGCCATTTTGGAAAATGCCCCACAGAAGGAAGAAAAAGTGGTGGCACATCAGTTTCAACAGCAGAGATAGGCGTGACTAAGTCCGTTAATAATTACGTGGTTCGCAGAACATTAAAAAGTTAAGATACAATCCTTCAGTTGTTTGCACAGCTGAACTGAACGGTTTTTACCTGGATTTGAACACTGTCAGAGTAGAAGCCTGTCTCACAATTTCAAGAAGACCATTCCAGATTTTAGCTGCATAAATCAGAAATGCTGCCTGTTATACATCAAGCAGGAGATTACGCCATCTTCTGCAGCCAATTGAAAAGATTTACAAGCAAATTTGGTGGAAGTTTTAGGCTATATCCACACGAAGACAAAACGCTTATAATTTCAGAAACTTTTTCTGTAAACACAGAGTTAGCTCAGTAAATGTGTGCGTCCATATGAATGTAGTCAATACGCCTGAAAACGCTGTGAAAATATGCCAGACCTGTTGGTGGCGCTGTGACGCAATGACGGGATCAAGCCCAAACTTCCGTGACGGGAACTGGGCATGCGCGGAATTTTGTAAACAGACAACATGGCGAGTGGGCGAGCTGGTACTACATTAGTATGGACGGACGATGAGGTTGAACTGTTGCTTCGGGTCGCACTGGATTACAAAACCAACAAGCTACATTGTTGTTGTCATTATTTTCTGAGTGCGGCGCATGCGTGCTTTAACAAGAGGCGGGGCGATGACGCAAGCGTCTCAGATACATTGCGGAGAGGCAGTAACCACGGAGCGGCATATACGGAGTTTTGAAATCTTTCCACTCTGGGACCTACTTTCAAAAATGTTCGTTTACACCCCCCCAAAACGCCGGCCTCGTATGGAAGATACACTGGATTGATAAAGTATTTTTGCGTTTAGGCCTGAGCTTGACTTCGTGTGGACAGGGCCTTAGGTACTACACTGCAAAAAGTGATGAAAAATATTGTACATTTATTTTAGTTTGAGCACATTTTGAGGGCCTTAAAACAAAATTTGTCAATGAGACAAGCAACATTTTATCATCTTATCTGAAAAGACACAAGAAATATCACCCTTGAAATGAGAAAATGAAGCAACAGTTCTTGAAATAAGACTAAATGGCTTTGTTCCATTGGCAATATTTTGTTTCAAGAGAGCCAGAAAGTTCTCAAATTAGTATAAAAACCACACAATTCAAGCCATTATTACCTCATATGTTAGCATTTTTGCGGCGTATTAACCGGATAAAAAGGGCAACTTGGAGAAAGAAACAGAAACCAGTGATGAAGCTGTGTGTGGAGGAGGGAGGAGCACACTTACCCAGGATGATGTGCAGAGCAGCGGTCACTGGATCCCTCACTCCATGGACGGAGCAGGGCACGATGTCTGTGGAGCCTGAAACACACAGACCATACAGTCCTCCTGATTGGGAAGTTTGGATATCTGCCACATCCAGATATCCAAACTTCACAATCAAAATATGATAAGCGACTCTGTGTCCAAATAATGACACATTCAAAGAGATTGTCTTGATAAAAATTAAATAGAGATCTTGGGCATGTCTTTATTAAAGGTGGGGTACCTTTTCCATAAATAATCCTTGTTCTTTTTCCCAACAAAAAGAGCCTTGTAAAATGTAAAATCAATGTTTGACTTTTAAGTAAAGGTGGTCCTCACTTTTTCACTTTTCTGTCTGTAAAAGATTACCAACAAATGTGACAGAGGCCACAAGTACACACATGAGAAAACTAGTAACCAACCTGCTTTTTGTGGTTTGAAAGTGAGGTAGTTGTGCGGATTTTTGTCTTTTTTCATGTGTACTTTTTTTAATCCAGCACGCTAAACCAGGCCATTGGGATGTGCGGCCTTATTTGAAACCTTCTACTAAGTTAGCTTTAAGAGTATTCATTTAAATTCAATCCGAACAGTGCGGGTTCCAGGCCCCCACAATAACTGGCCCCCACACTGACTGGGCCCTACACTGACCGGCCGGGACTATCCCCACGGGGAGGCTGACTCTGCTGGGACGGTCCAGAGCAGAGCCGGTGTCCAGCTGAGTCCGCAGCACCAGGCCATGGCACAGCTCAGCCACAGAGCCGTCTCCACCCACCACCACCACGCTGGAACACACACACACACTCAATTTACCAAATTGCTGTGGTCTCCTTAAAGTCCACAGGGAGAGAATAATCTGGATAACAGAAGTATTATCTATATTCAAGCTCTGAGTCTCACACCATTGTTTGTGCTTGGAAAATGTATTAAGATTTGTTATTAAAGAAGTTTTATACAGCTCTTTTAAGGATTGATTGATTTTTTTTTTTTTAGGGTGATTTTAACATACATCATCTCTCAGACAAGTCTACGAAAGGTGGTAAATGGATTTTACTCAACACATCACACAGCTGACTCACAACAGAGGACACACCCGCGACCTGTTCATTATCTATGGCCTTACTGCAGGTGTGTCATCTGTTCTGGGCATGGCTGTCTCTGACCTCTATTGAGTGTTTTCAGACCTTTTTGATTACCATGAGGAAGTGATGTATAACTCTTGAAATGGCTGCAAATGTTATTGACATTTTAAATAACACTCCTACATTGGTTTTACCTGACCCCTGCCATTTTAAAATCCAATGTCATTAACAGTACCAAAGTTACAAATCATTAGTTTTCACATGTATGTATTTTTTGCCTGTTTTTGTCCAAATGTATTTCTGTTGGAACAAAGTATGTATACTTTATTGATTTTTGCAATGTGCTGTTATCTCACCACTGTGTTTTCTGCTTATTTAACAAACAGACAAAGTTATTAATGACAGGTTACACTGACAGAGTGGTCCAGAGGTGACCCTTTGTCCTGGAAACTGCGGCGACGGTGCTCCGGTGGGCACCATGGCGACACACACCACAGGGTTATCTTAGCAGTACTGAGATAATCTCCTCATGCACATTCAACGTTAGGAGGCTGAGCGGGTAAGCAGCTTAGGGCCCGCCCACCACCGCCTTCACACTCAATGTAGTCTATCTCTGCTCTGATTCATGTCTACCACAATGATGACCAATCGGGATTCATGTCTTAGCAATAAACAATTTCAAACCATACCAAAAAATACCAACAGTCCCACCATAGTCAAGGGCCAATCAGAATGAGACCAACCGCATATGTCCTCAAGGCCCCAAACTGGCAACCCATGCTGGAAACATCCTTTAAAACAATGTCCTGCCTCAGTCCCGGCTCACTCCAGTCTGGGTCTACTTCAGTCTTGCCTCAATCCTGGCTCAGTATGATACCTCAGTCCTGCCTCAGTACTGTTTCAGTCTGGGTCTACCTCAGTCCTGCTTCAGACCTGCCTCAGTCCTGCCTCAGTCCTGCCTCAGTCATGCCTCAGTCATGCCTCAGTCATGCCTCAGTCATGCCTCAGTCATGCCTCAGTCATGCCTCAGTCCTGCCTCAGTCCTGCCTCAGTCATGCCTCAGTCATGCCTCAGTCATGCCTCAGTCCTGCCTCAGTCCTGCCTCAGTCCTGCCTCAGTCCTGCCTCAGTCCTGCCTCAGTCATGCCTCAGTCCTGCCTCAGTCCTGCCTCAGTCCTGCCTCAGTCATGCCTCAGTCCTGCCTCAGTCCTGCCTCAGTCCTGCCTCAGTCCTGCCTCAGTACTGCCTCAGTCCTGTCTCAGTCCTGTCTCAGTCCTGTCTCAGTCCTGTCTCACTCCTGGCACAGTCCTGGCTCAGTCCTGTCTCAGCGTAGGTCAGTATGTTTTTCGGTCAACAGTTAATTAGAGTGCAGATTAGAGCGTCTGCAGGACACTCACATAACCCCACACATGGCTCACTTCAGCAGCCAAGCACCAATGCCCCAATTTATTTACTTTAAAAAAATATGTTGGATCACATCTTTAATACAATACAGCAGATGACAATTATATACTGGACACAACACAATACAGACTGGCCATCTCCCAGGATATTGAGCATGATTTTTCAAAGCTTATATTTTTCAGACTTTCAGTTCAGGATGTAGATCTGTAATGTCATTTGTGTATGTCTGTGTGTGCGTATTTTCTCTGTCATGAGAGGGCATGTGGCACTGACCCATCGTACTGGTCCAGTTTGCATTCCTTCATCAGCGTTAGGGCGTGGCCTTCCTTCTCCGTCACTGTGCATATACACACACGCAAACACAACACACACACAGACACACAAACGCACCCACACACACACAGGGGGTTAGCACCAATGATTACACATTTTGCATTTTGTTAAGAGTACCATGGTAGCCTCAAACAATCAAGACGTTACTTCAGATGAAGTAAGTAAGTAATCTTTATTTATATACCGCCTTTCACAGACACAGTCACAAACATATACAAAATGAACACATACAAAACAAATACATCGGTTTATGTCATAACTTAGGATGTAACTGGCTGGTGATTTGGGCCAGACACGGGAGAACAGACTTACAACAGCAAACTCTTATTGTTTATTTGGTTGGGACAGTACATGTTAATGAACAGATCACTCCAGATTGTAGCCTTGCAATTGTGCACGGTGGCTGAGTGGATAGCACTCACGCCTCTCAGCAGGAAGGTCCTGGGTTCAAATCCTGGTTGGACCAGGGCCTTTCTGAGTGGAGTTTACATGTTCTCCCCGTGTCTGCGTAGATTTCCTCCGGGTACTCTGGTTTCCCCTACCACTAAAAACATGTACAATAGGTCTGGCATGAGCCTCCTGTACTGGCAACCCTGCTCCCATCTCTGTGTGGAGTTAGAGGACCTATTTATATAAAACTGTTTGATGAGCAGTGCTCTGCTTTGCCTTTAAACGCTGGCTTGATTGACACGGCTGGCAGGGAGTTGATGAGTTGATTATGACAGGCTGAGTAAGGCATGGTCCAGCCTGGTTTGATAACGTATAGTCTACAATCCTGAACCTCGCTTCATATCACTCTCTCCGTCAATCTCTCTTCATCCGTTCTCTGCCTGTGTCCAAACCATCTCAAAGTTAGTTGTCTCATTATAATTTGTATTTTCATTTCTAATATTTCTTCATCAAATACACTGGCTTTAACTCTAGGCTGTCGTGTGCACTAAAATGTGATTTATTTAGTTTGATTGTTGACCTGACATAGGACAAAAATGTGGGCCAGTGAGAGTGAACAGAGAGCAGCTCAGGTATCAGAGCAGTGGTCAGATGGGCTCTCGGCAGGCGGAGTGGACATGTGGACAGTGATATGAGCAGCTCCATGTGCGGTCGCCATCACACAGGGACACCCCAGGACTGAGGGGGACTGAGGGGGACTGAGGGGGGAGGGCCATCTGCCGCTGGAGACTGGCCCAGGGCTCTCAGAGGGCCAGCCAAAACCTCTCAGGACTGATAAGATGAAGTCACATTGAGGATTATCGAAAATGATAATACATGAAAGTGCTCATAGACAAAGTTTTGCTCCAACTCGCTCCTATTGACTTACACTCCTCTAGCTCAGAATCGTTTGCGTCAAGCTCACCATTTTGGACTTAAAAAATCTGTTCTTTAGCAGTCTCTGTGATCCTGGTGAAATTGTCTTTGTAAATCTGGATATGAGCAATAACATACTGTACGTCTAAAATACTGCACCTATTCATGAGAAACAAACACTCGCACAAAGTTCAGTGTCTTCTGTCAGTGTAAATAAACAAACAGGGAACTCATCTTTTCACACTATTTTCAAAAAGTGGACACAAAATCATCTTTACCTGTTTTAACTGTGTTACAACATTGTCTTCATTGAAATATGAAATATGAGGCACAAATCACCACAAACATATCATTCCAACATGAGGTCGACAAAAACATCGACCAATTAATCAACAAAGACAGAAAACAGGATTCATCAGAGTGTCATGAGTAGTTGAAGACAGAGGAAGTAGACAAGGCAACTCAAAGTGTTTAACAAAACAAGAAACGATCATACGACTAAATATACAATCATCAGTTGTATGCAGGGCTAAACAGAACAGAGGATTGTCAGAGTAAAATCCTATCTCACATTTTAAGGAAGACTTAAGTCCCAGCAGGAGGCCAGTCCTTGTGCTCCTCAGAGTCCCAGCAGGAGGCCAGTCCCTGTGCTCCTCAGAGTCCCAGCAGGAGGCCAGTCCCTGTGTTACTAGTCTCAACAGGAGGATGTGTTGTCGAGGATATTATCGAGACATGAGATCACATAGAGTAGATCACCCTCCATCAACTAATTAGCGTCACAGGGTCCTTTCTTACAAAGATAACATGTTTTTAAAAAGATGCAGACAGCATGTTGTGGTCCTCACTGTAGAACTATTGCACTATTGCAAGAACGAATACTCTCTGGCAGTTTTCATTGAGTTAAAAAAAGCATTTGATACAATTGATCACACTATCCTAGCTAAGAAACTTGAAACAAAAGGTATCAGGGGCTGTCCATTACAATGGCTCAAATCGTACAGTCAAACAGGCAACAGTTTGTCCAGATGGACATGTGTAACTATCCCCAGGAAACTCAAACTAGTGCTTTTTGCAGGCGACACAACCATTCTGTCCTCGGGAAACAACCTGCAACAGTTATTGGCTAAGACATCCGCAGAAAAGAAAAAAATCAAAGAATGGTTTGATCTCAATAAATTATCGCTTAACTTAAAAAAAAAAAAAAAAAAAAAAAAGTATGGTTATTGGAAATAAAAACATTGATACCAAACTTAGAATGTCTATCAATGATGAAAACATTGAATTTGTTGAACAGTATAATTTTCTTGGAGTTACTCTTGACAATAAACTGTGCTGGAAACCCCATTTCACCTACGTTAAAAATAAAATGGCCAAGTCTATTTCAGTAATGAGAAAATCAAAGCACCTTCTCAATGAAAAGGCCCTTTTCGCCATCTACTGTACTTTAGTTTTGCCCTATATTAGCTACTGTGTAGAGATATGGGGAAATACAATAAGACTAATCTTGATGACATTTTCATTATGCAAAAAAAAGCTGTTAGAGTTGTCCACAATGCTGGGTACTTGGACCATACGAACCCACTGTTTCTCAGATCTAAATTATTGAAATTTGATGATCTAATCAGGTTTAGAACACTGCAAATAATGTACAAGGTAAGACCCAAACTGCTTCCAACCAATATTCTAAATATGTTTCAAAACAGAGATGGTAAATACAATCTGAGAGGGCCAACTAACTTCAAGAAACAGTGTGTTCGCACATCCCTAAAGAGCATGTTCATTACACGACGTGGTGTGGATTTGTGGAATGAACTTGAAGAGAGCCTGAAGACTGCTAAAACTCTTTTAAACTTCAAAATACTGTATAAGTTAAGCGTCCTTAAAAAATATGCCACCGATGAGGGTTCACAGCAAGTATGATTGCACTGAGTAAAGAAATGTTGTATCTAAGTATGTATGTATGTATCTAAGTATGTATGTATGTATGTATCTAAGTATGTATGTATGTATCTAAGTATGTACAGTGCCTTGCGAAAGTATTCGGCCCCCTTGAACCTTTCAACATTTCGCCACATTTCAGGCTTCAAAAATAAAGATATAAAATTATTATTTTTTTGTCATGAATCAGCAACAAGTGGGGCACAATCGTGAAGCGGAACAAAATTTATTGGATAATTTAAACTTTTTTAACAAATAAAAAACTAAAAGTGGGGCGTGCAATATTATTCGGCTCCTTTACTTTCAGTGCAGCAAACTCACTCCAGAAGTTCAGTGAGGATCTTTGAATGATCCAATGTTGTCCTAAATGACTGATGATGATAAATAGAATGCACCTGTGTGTAATCAAGTTTCCGGATAAATGCACCTGCTCTTTGATAGTCTCAGGGTTCTATTTAAAGTGCAGAGAGAACCATAAAGACAAAGGAACACACCAGGCAGGTCCGAGATACTGTTGTGGAGAAGTTTAAAGCCGGATTTGGATACAAAAAGATTTCCCAAGCTTTCAACATCTCAAGGAGCACTGTGCAAGCAATTATATTGAAATGGAAGGAGTATCAGACCACTGCAAATCTACCAAGACCCGGCCGTCCCTCCAAACGTTCATCTCAAACAAGGAGAAGACTGATCAGAGATGCAGCCAAGAGGCCCATGATCACTCTGGATGAACTGCAGATAACTACAGCTGAGGTGGGAGAGTCTGTCCATAGGACAACAATCAGTCGTGCATTGCACAAATCTGGCCTTTATGGAAGAGTGGCAAGAAGAAAGCCATTCTCAAAGATATCCATAAAAAGTCTCGTTTAAAGTTTGCCACAAGCCACCTGGGAGACACACCAAACATGTGGAAGAAGGTGCTCTGGTCAGATGAAACCAAAATTGAACTTTTTGGCCACAATGCAAAACGATATGTTTGGCGTAAAAGCAACACAGCGCATCACCCTGAACACACCATCCCCACTGTCAAACATGGTGGTGGCAGCATCATGGTTTGGGCCTGCTTTTCTTCAGCAGGGACAGGGAAGATGGCTAAAATTGATGGGAAGATGAATGGAGCCAAATACAGGACCATTCTGGAAGAAAACCTGTTGGAGTCTGTAAAAAACCTGAGACTGGGACGGAGATTTATCTTCCAACAGGACAATGATCCAAAACATAAAGCCAAATCTACAATGGAATGGTTCACAAATAGACGTATCCAGGTGTTAGAATGGCCAAGTCAAAGTCCAGACCTGAATCCAATTGAGAATCTGTGGAAAGAGCTGAAGACTGCTGTTCACAAACGCTCTCCATCCAACCTCACTGAGCTCGAGCTGTTTTGCAAGGAAGAATGGGCAAGAATTCCAGTCTCTCGATGTGCAAAACTGATAGAGACATACCCCAAGCGACTTGCAGCTGTAATTGCAGCAAAAGGTGGCGCTACAAAGTATTAGCGCAAGGGGGCCGAATAATATTGCACGCCCCACTTTTCTGTTTTTATTTGTTAAAAAAATTTAAATTATCCAATAAATTTTGTTCCACTTCACGATTGTGTCCCACTTGATGTTGATTCTTGACAAAAAAATTAATTTTTATATCTTATGTTTGAAGCCTGAAATGTGGCGAAATGTTGAAAGGTATACTTTGCGAATACTTTCGCAAGGTACTGTATGTATGTATCTAAGTATGTATGTATGTATCTAAGTATGTATGTATGTACTGCATCCGTAATTCTTGTGTGTATTCCTGTTGTTTTATGTTGCTTTCCTATTGAACACACGCACATGCACACGCACACGCATGAGGTGTGTTTGTGCGTGTGCAGAGACACATTTTCAGCAAAGACTGCAAACTTGTCGAAGTAATGTATTATTGTACGTATACATTGTATCTATATAATGTCTTTGCTATTGATGGATTCATTGCTCTAATCTATGAACCAGAATGGTTCATGTTTATAAATGTAATCAGCAGTTGTTTTCTTTTTGGGGTTGCAATTAGGGGCAAGCACTCATAAGTATTTCCTTACTTCTGCTTGCTCCTTTTGACCTCTATACAGTATGTTTTTTTAAGTTCTGATTGTATACACAACTGTAGTTATGATTTGTCCCTGTATGTACTGTTTGAACAGCTCAAATAAAGTAAAGTAATCAGTAATCACGTGTGTAGAGTGACGTGAGCCTCAGTGAGAGCAGTGATGCAGGAGCACAGATGGGTGGAGGCCTGTCTCTGGTTACACCTGCCCCATGGAGCCATTAGCAGTGACCTCTGACCCCACTCATGACTCACAACCACCGTGATAAAGAACCTCCACACGTTTAGGGAAAGCCACTGCTGCTGGAATAGGAAGTGTAATAATCTACATACAGAGCCAAGTGATACACAGTATATTTGTTTATAGATTCAAAATAAACGTGCATTATTTATCATTCATTTCAACCTTAAAGCTGCACTAACTGACTTTGGGATTTTGAAGCCGCGGACTCGCTGGCCTCTCTCTTTCTGCTCCCCTCCCCGCACCCACGAAGCTATCGCCCCCCACACACACCCACTGTTGTTGGAGCTAGCGTCTCCCAATATGGATAATACATGGATATGGATTTGCACGTGGATGGCGTGACCATAGAACGATAGAACCGCGAAGCGCGGAGGAACGGGACTTTCTTTTGGATGGCTGTTTCGCTGTGTAAGCAGTAACCGGTGACGAAGACACAAAGCTTCAGGTTAGCTCCGCCGCTTGTTGTGCTAACTCAGCTGTCTGTGCTAACGGACCTGTAGATTTCTCACAAAAGTGGGGGCTAGTGGTGCGCTGTGATTGGTCACAATCTGCGACCCGAAACACATTCTCTTACTTGTTTCATCAAAACTCGATCTAAAATACAATGTCACGCCAGCACAAATCTGCGCTACTTTTTCTTCAAAAGGACGTATATCCCAATGCACTACATGGACATGGATAGCATTTTCGTAATGAATACAAAAATAAAGTCAGTTAGTGCAGTTTTAAACAAGATATTGAGATTATTTACTTACAAGTTACATGCTTGTGTCAGAGGTTCCTGATATTAGCCTAGATGGATCTAAGAACAGGTCTGTTTAGATGTGTGTATGTACAATGGTGTAACATATGGAGAAATATCATGCAAATTTGAAGTACAGGTCTCTCTTGCTTCTAAAACATAAAAACATTTCTGGGCCGGGGGGTTGCAGTCAGAGCTGCACCCAACTCACAGAGCACCTCCTGCAGGTGGTGAGTCCACAGGAGGATGGCTGCTCTGTCAGTGTGAGCATAGTCTTGATCTTTCAGTGGGGGCTTCAGGCAAAGTGGGGTTAAGTGTCTTTCCCAAGGAAACAACAACAGCAGACATCAGTGGGAGTCAGTGGAGAAGCTGGTGGGCTCAAACCCATGACCTTCAGGCTCAAAGGCCAATGCTCTACCAACTGAACCACTGTCGGTTAAAGGTTCTTCAAAGAAGTGATGGAGAAGCGGAGGAAGATTCTCTTACCCCTAGCTCAAGAATACTTGAATTATCTTCTGACAATGATTTTTTAGATTGGAGTGATCTTCCTTTATATTGGAGCAAGATGATGAAGATGGACTATCTGTCACTTTGGGTGATTTGGTCAGACAAATACATCCATATTGTATGGCTATTTCTCTAGAAGATCAGGAAGAACTTCTCCCTGAAGGAGGAATTTTACTTGAAGCTGTTGACCAAGGTAAAAAATGGAGAACCTGGAGTATAATGGCAATTTCAGAAATAGATTACGCTCTTCTCAACTTGACGAGTTGATCTAAAAGGTTTTTGGATTAAAAAAAAAACAATAAGCAAAATCCTTGAAGTAGCAGCTGTGGAGACCATGATAGTCCTTTGAACTAGTGCACACAAGCCAATTCAATCTGGAGAGACTTCAGAAGACAAAATGCATTTTGAATGTTTTTATTGAAAGGTGCTTTGGCGCTCGAGGCCCCGGTGCGGCGTTTAGTCAGCGAGGCTCCTGCGTGAGTGCGCGCACAATCCCCCCGGAACCTAGGCACTTGTGGTGGCATTTGGGCAGCAGGAAAGAGGCATGCTTGAGGCAGGGTGAGAAAAGGAGGTGGAGGCGGTGGTTTGCAAGCCTTCGAGAAGGCCGTGAAGTGGGAGTTTCTCCACTTTTAAGCTGCTGGCTTGACCAGCGTAGGTTGGTTGGAAATGGGCATTTTCTGTGCGATAGGCTGAGGATGCGAAGCCGGCCTGTGGAAGGGGTGGCTTTAGCCATCAGTCTTCCAACTCTGGAAGACTGACGGCTAAAGCCAGAACAGTTTTCTTCTGACTTTAAATAAAGGTAACTGTCATGTTCTACTTCTTATACAATGATGTTGGAGTCACATAAAGCACAAAAAATCAAAACAGCGAGGCCGCTGTGTAATAGTGTAGGTCTAAATATGATGTAAAGCACCCCCCCCCCCCCCCCACGATGGTAAATGTGGAATATTTAATTCTTGAATATTCTCCAATAGGACAAATGAAAAGCCATTGAGTCCATTTGAATCATACATCCCCTTTAAACATGGCCATGATTCTCTGTTTGCGGTAAATTGGTGACAGACCTGTGATGTGGGTCTGCACGGCAGCCATCTTGAAGAGCGGCGCCACGTGCTCACGGTACACATGCACGGCCTCCTTCCTGTGGCTGCTGGGGTTGATGAGGACCTTCAGACACCTGGGACGGCCAGCCATGTCTGCAAACAGCCCAAAGAGCACAGGGGAGACCAAGTACACACACACACCCACACACACATGTAGAAAATATATAAACATCTATTCTGGAGTAAGAGATGGCAATTCAATGTATTTTGTATTTTTATATAGCCCTAAAACACAACAGCAGTCGCCTCAGAGGAATTTACAAAGTTATCAACAACAGATCAGAGAATCAAACAGTTGAACACAGGAAATGCAAGAATAACAAACACATAGAGCCATTGGTCCATAGGGAGCGGGATGATCACTGTCCATGAATGTTAATACATTTCCATGAATGTCCTGGATCATCCCTAATATGACAGGATTTTACATGATTGACAATCAAAATTAATTCAGATATGAGTTTTGTCAATACAGAGAATGTAAAAGAATATTTAAAAAAAAATTAAACACTTTAAAGCAGCTCTGCTTGTGTATAGGGATGTCCTGTCGTACCAATCTTGAGATCGGATCAATATTTCATGGTTTTGGACTGATCGGGGATCGGCTAAACTGCCCAATCCACTCGCCCGATCTTTACAGCTGTTGTTGTGAAGCAGCAGTTGTTAACGGTAACTGCGCACGCAATGATTTAAAGCTCAATTACAATGGTGCAGCTAAAAATGTACTACAGATATTTGTCTTCACTCAACTTTACTGCACACTGGTGTGATCCTTATGATTTTAAGTGTGCCGTATTGCAGCTCATCAGTCCCATACAGCAGGCTGCGTTTACCACTGTTAGGCTTTATATGAATATTTGACATATTGAATATTTTGTGTACTTGAGTGTACTTGCTAAAAATTAAGTTTTTTGAACTACAATACCAATGATGAAATACATTGGATCAGGAGTTTATCGGTTTGGAATCGGAGCCAAAACAAAGTGATTGGGACATCCATACTTGTTTACAAGTCTCTCCATGGGCTCGCACTAAAGTACATCTGTCACATGTTTGTGCCATATGAACCAACTCGGACTCTGAGGAGCACAGGGACTGGTCTCCTGCTGGGACTCTGAGGAGCACAGGGACTGGTCTCCTGCTGGGACTCTGAGGAGCACAGGGACTGGTCTCCTGCTGGGACTCTGAGGAGCACAGGGACTGGCCTCCTGCTAGGACTCTGAGGAGCACAGGGATTGGCCTCCTGCTAGGACTCTGAGGAGCACAGGGATTGGCCTCCTGCTAGGACTCTGAGGAGCACAGGGACTGGCCTCCTGCTAGGACTCTGAGGAGCACAGGGTGGCTGGTACATAGAATCAGGAGTAAACATGGGAAGGCAGCACTTTCAGATACAGCTAGAATCAGGAACAGTATTTCTGAAAATGTGAGACATGGCTTCTACTCTGATTTACAAATCCAGGTGAAAACAGTTCTGTTTAGCTGTGCATAAAACTGAAGGATTGTCACTTCACTCTTCAGAATGTACAGTGATTATTTAGTATTGTGTGATTCTGTTTTGTTAAGAACTTTGAGTTGTCTTGAACTGTGCTATACAAATAAAGTTAAAGGACCCAGTTTTCACTAGTGCTAATCTGAGTTTACTGAATTTGAAAAACAGCCTTTGGACAGATGGGATGATGTGGCACCATGAATGAAGCTACAATTACCTCTGGGTCTGATTTCGGATCAGAGAACCGTATGGTAACATGTGTCCTTTCTCCTTCGTGCAAAGATCATCAACTTTGTGCAGTCGACTGTTGTGCTGTACACACATCTAAATTGACGCCTCTTTCCCTATAATTGTTCCAAACGAAATGGCATGGGCACTAAATAAATAAAGCTGGATAAACCTCCCCACACTCCTTCTGAAGGTCACATACAGAGTGTGTGTTTGGGCTGAGCTGGGGGGCGGCCTGGATCAGGTTGAGTCCCCCTTGGAGGTGCTGAGGTCCTGTCTAGGGGGACCAGATTATGGGATAATGGATATTGATCTGTGGAGGTCTGAGGATGCCTAATGGGCTCTGTAAAGTGAAGGCGGTACGCATACATGAGCAGATTTTCAAGTCTATTTATTTGTGTATGCCATAGACTGTATATAGATGGACAATGCTAACCCGCTAGCTCAATGAAGCCCGATAGGGACATCTATGATGATGGTGTTTATATTTACAACCACGCGCACGCACACACACACACACACACACACACACACACGCAGAAGTTATAGTTGTATTTGTAACTTTGCCATCCATTGTATGTGTATGTGGATCTAAAGCCTCAGTCCTGTATCTACAGCCTCAGTCCTGTATCTAGACCCTCAGTCCTGTATCTACAGCCTCAGTCCTGAATCTACAGCCTATCCATCTCTGGAAGCGAATCCCTTGAGTTAGTAAGCGCCTTTGCGTACTTCACATAGACCAGTGCTTCTATAATAGTGGGGCGCTCCCCTAGGGGGGGCATGGTGAAATTCCAGGAAGGCACGCGTGACCAGCAGCACATGCTGTTGTTTGCAAAACAACTCGAACGGGATTCCACATCTTCTGTGGCAGCAGTGTTCTGACCAGTGGAGGCGGGTCAATGAGCATGTGCGGCATACACAGCTTGTTGCAAGTGCATGTCTTTGCGTAACCTAAGACATCGGAAATAAAACTTGCTAAATTCAAGCTAGGGTACCTACATATTCCCTTGCATTAAAAATGCATATTGGTTGTGCTCAAAAGTAAAATCCTGTGAAAAAATCAAACAGAACAAACAACAACAGGCGGTCTTGTTTAGATTTTGTATATCTTTTGTATATATATATATATATATATATATATATATATATATATATACTTAAGAAAGAGTTATTATTTGACTTTTTGAGTCAAAGAATGAGACTCGAGAGTGGATTATCTGAGCCATTCTAAATTTAAGCATAAAAAAGAAGCAGATTTGCCCTGACAGTAGCTCAGTTGGTAGAGCATTGGCCTTTGAGCCTGAAGGTTGTGGGTTCGAGCCCACCACAAGACCCACTTTAAGACTCCCACTGATGACTGCTGTTGTTGTGCCCTTAGGCAAGACACTTAACCCCACTTTGCCTGAAGCCCCTGCTGAAAGACCAAGGCTCCTGTGGACTCACCACCTGCAGGAGGATCAGTGAGGGGCTGGTTATGTGTAATGGGTGCAGCTTTGACTGCCACCCCCCTGACCCAGAAATGGGCTAAGGGGAAGAAAATGTATGGAAGATCTTGATTAGGAATCATCATCACCACTACGGTAAAAAAAATACCACATAACTGGTTATAATGTACTGTAATTTCTATATTCTCAACCAGATGAAAGCTCTTTCAGTTTTAAAATAAAACTGCAATATTTAAAGAGAATGACAGAAAAATACGGAGCCAAGTTTGTGTGTATTTTCTTGGAGTTTGTGGAAAGCTTGTCTATAGCTCATCCCTACGTCTGTGACAGTTTTTGTTTTACCGTTTTGTTTCATGGAGGCATTTTGTGCAAATGAATATTTTTATGAAAAGAGGTTTTCTTATGTTGAACAAACTGGAGATACGCTTTTCTTGGATTCCACCAATACAGCACCAAAGGTAAATAAGGCTGTAGCTATAAGCTGAGGTTGTAGAGAGATGAATGTTATTGACAGTGATTACAACAGAAGTGTCCATCCGGAGACGTGGGGCGGGACAGATTTACTTCTCACTCGGAAACTTGACACCCTCCAATAGCGCTGGGATTGTTTGTCATGGCGACGCTGGATCTTTGCCACGACAACGGGCCCATGATAGTCACTTGATCTGGTCCCACTGATGCCCATCTCTGCGCTCCCCCCATGGGTCCGGGGGGAAAGAGATGTGACACAAGCAGGGTAGAAGCAGGTCTAACCCAGGACTGAAGCAGGACTGAAGCATGACTTAAGTAGGACTAAACCAGGACTGACGTAGGACTAAAGCAGGACTAACGCAGGACTTACGCAGGACTAAAGCAGGACTTACGCAGGACTTATGGTCTAAAGCACGACTGATGATCGAAGTATGACTGAAGCAGGACTAAACAAACACTGAACCAGGACTGAGGTGGGATAGAAGTGGAGACTAAAGCAGGACTAAAGCAGGTTTGAACCAGGCTAACTTGAGTGTTTGCAAATATCTTTCATATAGTCTTTGGTAGAAACCCAGTCAACAGCAATCAACATCAGACTGGGTCCAGTCTAAGTTGGGATCTTGTTCAATCCTGGTTGATTCCTGCAGCTCAGTATTAGGTCAGATCTGTTTTTAGTTGTGGATTACTGGCACAAACCTAATTTGGCCAGAGATTAGTCATTTAATCGTCTTGTGGGAATAAAATAAGTTACTTAATTCAAATCCAAACTCCTATTGTGGGCATCCACTCAAGTTTTGGATATTTACTTTGGTATATACCTTTGGGATTTTAGCAGGTAGAACTCTAAAGCATAAACACAAAAATTCAATTCAATGTATGTTTGTTTAACCCAAAATCACAACATCAGTTATCTCTGAGGACTTTACAAAGTTGATTTCCCATCACAGGTCAGAGAATCAAACAAGACTGGGGGACTCCAAAAAAAAAAAAAAGAGTCCCCCAGTCTTATTTGATCTTGTTTTAATCGTCTTCAGTTGGTGCAAAATGCTGCAGCTCGCTTTTTAACAAACACACCCAGACGTCAGCACATCACCCCAGTCCTTTACTCCCAACATTGGCTTCCAGTTTCGTTTCGAGTAATTTGAAAATTTTACTCCTTGTTTTTAAAGCCCTCAGTGGTCTCGCCCCGCCGTACTTGTCCAAACTTTTGTCTGTTCGTGACTCAGGCAGATGATTGAGGTCATCTTCTCAACTCCTCCTAGAAGTACCTAGGACTAGGTCCAAACACTGGGGAGACCGGTCCTTCTCAGTCGCTGGACCCAGACTCTGGAATAAGCTGCCCCCTGATTTTGGCCTTTTTAAATCCAGGCTCAAAACGTATTTATTCAGACTGGCTTTTAACACTTTTATCACTCAATAGCAGGTGACACTTTTTAAATGTTTTTTTAATCTGTTTTATT